TGCCGAGCAAGCTTGAGCTCGGACATGGCAATCCGAGAGCCATGGCCCTGCTTGCCACCCCACGTTCTTTTATGTCTGCTGCAAGCCACCAGCGGTAACCCGATGGACGGGAGAGGGGAGAAGAGGGGAGAGAAGGCTGGGTAAACTCACAGGCGGAATAAAGGAATTACCACGACGGAAATGAAGTCATACTGTGCATGGCTAACAAGGTTTAGGCGAGTCCGAGAGAGGTCCGTGTCAGAAGACTTGCGCTGCACGAGGTGGGCCTAACAGATGGAGAAGGAGAGCTGTCGCATGCCCATCCTGCTAGTAATGATCTGGCCCCGGCTATGGGTGTGAATATTTGATCCCTTAGGGGATTGTTGCAGGACTTGACTCATTGACTGCTCGGTTATTCCCGCATGACTTTGAATAAAACTGTGATGGCCATTGAAGCTAGTCGATGAACTGCGGGCTTTTCGTGTTGGTCTGTCAATTTTTGATGGATGCGGTGCAGATCGCGGGGTAACCCCGCCAGATGTTAGCAGGATTCATGTTGTAGCTGATGAACAGAATACTACGTATTTCTCCGGTATATTTTCGTCCAAGCAACTGATGTTTTACATTCTTTGAGATTATTGGCAGCTTTCTCGTATACTGTTGAATGATTAGCTGATGGCTACTACTCATTAATCCTATAAGCGAGTTGAGATATATATTCAGTTCCCGACGCTTGGCGTATAGAGTGAACTCAACGTGGCATAGCATCGATGATTCTAGGAACTTGAACCCCTCACCCTAACAACCAAGAGCACATCCAAGTACTAATACCCGCCTCGTCTTAGTACATACCTATATTTCTGCTAGTGACTTTCTGTACGCGAAGGAGACAAGGACATTGAAGACTAGATGTAGCAAGAGAAGGGTGATTTCGAGAGGATCAAGTATGAGTTCGCTGATCTATCCATTCATCGTCAGCCTTGTCCACTACTCAGTAGTTGTGCTTATGATTAAACTTTCCAAAGACACATACACTGTATATAATATTTACCTTTAGCATGCCAGGAAATGAAGAAATTAGCATTTTGACTGAAAGCTCGACCAAGTTGTGACGTGTTATTGAATAGTGGTCATATTGAACTATATGTAAATATACTCCTTCAGAGTTAAACTAGCGCTCTTCATTGATGGGCGACTTCCACAGCTTCCCTAGGTAAGCTCATGGAATGTCCGACATTTTACAAATATGTATCAATCCATACATATAGATATATACACATGTGTGTGTGTGTGTGTGTGTGTAGGATTGTCTGGTGCTGTGATAATTACCCTGAATAGTAACCCATATACATATACACATATACCTATTAGATAGTTAAAGGCTGGCCCTTCATCAGACGACTATGCATAAGATATAGTGGACTAGAGTCCTACAGCCACCAAAGACTACAGTGGGGAAACATTTTGTTCGGACATATCTTCGATGCCAGGGGAAAAGGTAACTAAATAGCTCGAGGAAGGTTATAGAAGCAGTTCTTGGAATTATCTTACAGTTACATCTCTCATGTCCTTTTCATATTTTTCAATTTCTCGTTCTCTCCATTTCCTTTCGAGTTCTCAATACCATTGTGCACTTACCTATAATTTCTTCTCTAACACCCCGCGCGGTTTCCATCTTTACAAGTCCCCGTGCTCAAGCGACAAGTCGCCGTAGTTCTCACTTACTCCCTTTAAAATGCCGACTTTCTGTTATCCTTTCATCGTCCATTGCTCCTGTGGACTTTCGGCCATGGTGCATCGCTCCAAACCAGTCGGGTCTGACGACACGATGTATCAGTGATGCTAATTTTGGTTTGAGCAGCATCTCTGCAGACTAGAGATTAAATAGCGACTCCAGTAGAGACATGGAAATTGAAAATTGAGGACCTTGATAATGAAAGCAAATTATGCGAGGGCACTTTCATAAATGAAAGTCATCTGCCCCAGAACACGATCTAGCCCAGGATGAGAGCTTAGACATCTATCACATTTAACTAAAACAGTACAGCAATTGCACTACAAAAAGGCTTGATAAATCTCGAATGTGTTGGGATATGTAGATAAGCTCCGTGACTTTCAAGCTACGTCAAGACCATTGGCAGATCTCAGGGCCAATACTGGCAACAGAATAATGTTGATCCAGTGCAGTGGAAATAGATCTTAAGCTCTGATGAGATGTTTTGAATTTTGTACACATTATACAGTTGGATGTGTGATATTTTGTTGGGGAAATAATGGTTGCCAATGCTCAGGTATTGTGCGTAAGAGCTTGCTGGAGTTATTGTGGAAGTGGTGATCCTTTTATCCTAATGTATGAAATGGTATCTAGGCTCAGAAAAGACCTAGAAATCAATGTAAATGGTGTAAGTACCTAATTTACATTCTACCCTGTTCAAATAAGGTACAGATACTGATGTAGGAGAGGCCATTGCCTAAGTCTCATTTTCAATCATAAACTGGACAGGAATTGTATATTGAGGATGTAAATATGCTTAAAGCGTATGGGTAATCTTTGCTACTAATTAGATATTACTTGACTATGTTTGACAGTGTGTCTAACTTCTTTCACCCTGTTTGTTTGTGGCTTTTACTACCAACTACTGGTGATGCTCCTTCACCTTCGGTATAGGAATATATTGTCAGATCTGAGTTAACAATTCAAGGCAGGTGCCCCCACCTAATCATCCTCACCTAATCACTTTATTGATGCTGGATCTTATTGAGCCACTTCTTGGAGAAGGCTGAGTATGTGCTCTGACTCATGCAGTTTCTTAAAATACCGAATTATAATCGAGTCAAGTCAGTATAAATAAATTCGATATTTCCGGGATACTTTGTACACTTACTTGATATATGCTTACTTATTGTGTATATATATATATATATATATATATATCCAAGGTTTCAAGTTTCAGGATGAAATACCGGATAAATCAATATTCTGTTACATGCTTATACCTTCTCTAATATACCAGAATCAAGGCATTTAACACAAGAAGTAGGTTTATTCTCAGCATATAGAAAGTTGGGTACTGCTAATGGGTAGAAGATGTCATAGATGTTCCTATAAAATATAAGTCTAAATTCTTCTTGATATCTGTACCTCTATCCACTGGTTGAGATTAATATTTATATCAATGTTCAGGATTTACCTGCAAGACTCGTTTGTAATCCACGCTAATATGACGCGCTGAAAATCTTAAGTAACTCAAAACATGACTCTCTCCTATTAACTGTCTATATTTCTTAATAATCTCCTTATAATCCATGCACAGTGGAAGACAGTGACTGAATAAACATAAAGCAGAAGTATAAGAAAAATGTGCGGGATAGAGCTACTGGAGCAGAAAACTATTTATTCAGTTATTAAAATATATACTATAGAACAGTTGTGTACAGATATATTCTAGAGAAATTTATATAAAAGTAGTAAATCATTACATATAATATATTTTAAAACTAGAATTGTATCCAAGTGAATTTTGAAATAATATTTAACTAGTAATCTCCCGGTTGTACTATATAAAGTAAGTTATCTTTATTTGTTATATATACATTAACAGAAGAATCTATTCTCATGTCAAAACACTGCTATATCACAAAGCGGATCTCAGTAGACACATGGAAGGAGGCTATACTATCTTCCAGTATAAAGTACTATACTTCCTAGGATTCCTCTCATGGCCACTTTCACCGGCCTTCAGGGTATCTTATAAATTCTAGCAGTATGGGTATTACTGCTACATCTTTCTCTGCTCTAGTATCTAGACTTGTACAACTACCTGGGGATTATACCAGGCAGCCCGCTCCTTTCAGGTAATATACTTAGGCCTCGGCTAGTAAGTCACCTTAAGTTGACTACTACACTAGCCTCCAACAAACTTTCTCGAAGTTGTGTGTATTTTTTTGGTTTGTGTATATAAAATTAATTACTTATATTAATATTAGTATGGTCTTGTCCATTAAGAGGAATAAAATATGCATACACATATATTTGTCTAATCCTATTGTAGACTAGTGCCGTGTAAGGCAAAAAGAGAGGAAATCTATAAAAGCCAAACTTGTTTACCATAGTATAACAGAGGAAGAGTAGTACTACTGCCTTGAGACAAGTATTATCTGAGGCACTACTGTCATTTATGTGCTTGATTATTTACTGTCTTACTTAGGATTCTGCTTAGATGGTATTGATTCTTCACTATTAAAATATTGTCACCACACCATCAAAATCAACTATAGAGCTATATATAGTATTTTTAGATACCCTATCTTCCCCTTTCCCCTCCCTCCACCAGCTTGATCAAAATTATGCCATAGTTCCATGGAGATCAGTCACCCAGGATTCTTTCTCTCTTTTTGTCTATGACTGCCTAAGTAGTTATCTGTTATACAGTACTAAGTCTCTAATTGAGTATCTTATCTTAAAATATTCTATAATCTATATAGATCTCCATATAACGGGATCACTAGTCAAGGTATTTAGTAACAGTATCAGATCCACTGCCAAAAACTAGATCTGGATTCTTTTTCCGCCTATCTATCCTGTATATGACTAGTAGATCTATTTCCCTTAGTGGTGGTAGTGCATGACATGTATTTGTGCAGATTGTCCATATGGTTATGATACTGTATACTCCTATCTACCAATATGCTTCGAGGACTGACTAGAGGTGGGTATAATTTGTGATTGTGCCCCTCATTACCTGGAAATTGATTTAAATTTCAAGTCCCCCCTCTTTTTTCTTTGTTAACTTTTAGAATCATCTAAATATCTTTGTTTTTTATTCTCTTTTTTTTTCTTTTTTCTTCGAGTTTCAAATCCACTTCTACCAATTTCTCCAAAACATTTCCTGATCAAAATCTGTTAAAATGGTTGTCCATGCTATCAGGATATATATTTTTCTGATTTCTTTGCATTTACCTCCCTTCCTATACTACTGTCTTTCAGGAATTAAAATATTAACTTTATTATTTTTAGGTCTGCTGAATTCACCGAGAAGGCTATCAATTCTAGGAAGCAAGTCATAGTTATATTTTTCACGGAATGGTCCCCTCCTTGCAAGATAATACGCCTTGTATTATAAAAGCTCAGCGAGGACTACCCGTCCATTAAATTCTATAATGTAGATATTAATGACCTTGACCAACTCACTGCTGATTGGGGTATTACTTCATTTCCTACTTTCCTCTTCTTCAAAGACGGTGCACAACTCAATAACTTCACTGTCCGTGGTGCCCTCACCTCGAACATTGTTAATGTTCTCGAAGACATGTCTCAAAGTGGTGATGAACAGGTATAAGACTACAAATGATTACTAGCCTTAGAGAATTTTTATTCTTTTATTTATTTTTTATTTTTTTTTTATTTATTTTTTTTTACCTCCATCATGAGAGCTCCACATTCCACTGCCTCTTTTATCCCCCCTTAACGCAATGGCTATTTGGACTTTGTGCATCACTATATAATTACTCTCTATAGCTGGCATGTACAGATTTAGCCCTATCATGTGACTGACTTTTACAAAGAACATCTTATCCAAGAACCTGTCGGAGACCAGAGTTGTTCCGATTCTAGAATTTTCAATTGCTGTAGTCAATTACTATCTTTTTTTAGGGTCTCGGCCTTAGTATGAGCGCCGTTAGTGCCCGTGGAGCTGGCATTAGGAGGGTGTTCTAGAAGGTGCCCTAGAAGGTACCTTGAAAGTAGTCTCAGAAGTAGACGTGGAAAATAGTCTTGAAGGTACTTATTCTGGAAGGATGGTAGTCTTGGAAGTAGCCTTGAATACGTGACATTATTTCTGTAGTTTCCTGCAAGTTTTAAATGAAATATGGGGCTAATTCTTTCTAATGAGATAAAGTCCTAGAGTCCGGCCAGGTGTAGTATCCACATCAAGGCCACCGTTGGATCATGCATGTGTCGACAATTACTTCTCAAGAGCGTACTGTAATAGAAATTTGAAGGGCTATCATAAAAGCATAAACACGTTACATCGATAAATCCGTCATTCATTGATCAAAACCAGTCCGTGGGTTCCATGGCATTCAGCCAAAAACGCCGTCTCGGGGATATCTCAACCAGGAATAGTATGTGCCCAGCCAACAACCATACCAATATACAATAAGCAAATAACCCAGTCAATATCGAGGAAGTTGCAGAAATTCACAGAGAGGGAATCAAAAGCAAGGGAATAAAAGAAAGTAAAAAGCGTATCGTCAAGAAGAAAGACCGTGCAAGCTTTAAGCACCACCACGGCCCATTCGTTCAATGGATCCCATGATACCACTGCGCCCGGGTGTGGGAAGGGCGATCCCGGACTTACTGCCGCTGTTGCCTCGAGCATGTCTGTTGCCTACTGCTCCGATCTTAGGGATTCTCTTCTCGCCATTGCTCGAGGTGGTACTTGGAGGACGAATGCCACTTGAGGTGCTGCCACGGCTAACGCTCCTCTGAAAGCTCTCAGTGGGAGGTTCCGGGGCAGCAAACACTGGCTCTGGCGACTCAAGCTCTCTAGTGGTCAGAGGTTGAGGGGCGCTCTGTGCTGGGGGCTGGTCCTGCTGGATTGCCAACCATTCATCCACAGCTGCTACCAATTCGCCTTTCTCTGCTCGCTCCTGCTTCAGCTCCGCGTGCAGGCGCTCGTTGTCTTCTTTCAGTGCCGCCATTTCCTGCTGTAATCCCTTGATCTGTGCCTCCATCACACGCTTCTCTGCTTCGTGCTCCTCCCGCTCCTGTGCCAACAGACTAGGGTCGACTTGTGGGGGCTCTGACACGGCGGCATCTCGCTCTATTCTCAGTCGCTCATTCTCTTCGTTGGCAGCAGTCAGCTTATTCTCGGCTTCACGCACGCGCTTTTCCCAGCGAGCTTCGTAACTCTTTTTCAATGCAGCGACCTTGGTTTCGTGCTTGCTCTTATAAAGCGTATGAAGCTCACGTGCAACCTTCTCCACGGCGTCTTGCACTTCTTTGGCAGTCTCTTCGGACGTCTTGGTGCGAGACGTATTCTCAGGGGCTGCGTTCCCAGCCGAGGCAGACTGGAGAGTCGAAGCCAATTGACTCTCCAGTTCGACCACTCGGCCCTCCAACTGCTCCCTAGACTTCTCTGCCTCATCCACCTTCCTTGCCAATCGTTCTTTCTCTTGCTCACCCTCGACAATTTCAGCTCTCACTTCTCTAAGGATAGCTTCCATTTCCTGACCCCTTCGCTGCCATTCAGCTTGCTCAAATTCCAGAGATTCCTTGCGCGCAGCTTCGTTACGGACTTCTTCTAGAGCCTCTCCCACGCGGCGTTCTGCGTCTGCAACTGCCTGCTTGAGACTGGCAACCTCTGCCTCCTTTCCGCTGAGAGTGGCCTTGAGGGAAGAGATTTCGGAGAGGAAGCCGGATTTTAGAGTCTCAAGCTCCCGGGGGGTGACTGTTGGAATTGACCGAGGAGTAGGCACAGAAGGGATGTCAAAGTCCAGAAGGGAAGCCTTTGCAGGTGACCTGACGGAGTCTCTGGCGGTCCTCAAGGGAGATCGGCGGGAAGGAGAGTAGCGCTCATTCTGTACACTATAACGCTGACGGGGGTAAATGCTTGGCTGATCGGTCAAATCAAGCAGATTAGGCGTATCATGTATGCTTCTTGATTCTCGCTTCCGTGGTGCAGGGGATGCAAGAGGGGTTCCCATATTGTTGAGAATGCTTCGTCGAGGCGACTTCCTTGCGGGGTAAGGACTGGCCAGTTCCGCATCACCCGTATGAGGTCGTGATATCTTGTAAGGCGAATCATTTCGAAGTTGTGCGAAAGTGGTCATATCCGGAATAGCGGAGAATGTGCTGAGGCGTGTCTCATCCATAGATTCGTTGGAGTCATCCGTCATAGCGTCGTCTGCTTCCTGCAAGTCAAGGTGTTCATCCATTTCTTGGGAGCTGTCCTTGTCATTTTCATGGAGGACAGTGCTCATGCCTTCGTTGTTATTTTCCTCCACCATGCTATTCACAACTTCCTGGCCAGCACCTTCTACCAGGTCGTGATCAGCACCGAATTCAACGTCCTCATCAGCGTAGACATTGATATCTGGAGAGCTCCTCGGACCAGTACCCTTCTTGTATCTATCATTTGGGGTCTCATCACCATCGGTACCGTCAGGGACTTGCTCGTAGGAGCGCTTTCTAGGCGTCATGGAGTAGTCACCGATGCCCCCTGAAGACATGTGCCGATTGAGGGCCCGCAGTTTCTGAAAGTCCACAGTCTCTTCTCTTGCATTGAACTGGAACGGCGAGCTAGGTGTTGGCATCACTGATTCAATATCCTCGTTATCCATACCCTGGTCGTCGTGCGATTCGTAGACATCGTGCTCAGGGATAGGATCTTCTTCTTGGACTTCTGTAGACACTTTGAAGGGGCTCGATAAGGGATCCTCAGGCGCATCCATATCGTCCTCCTGTACAGCGAAAGCAGGTTTGCCATAGCTCGGCGAGAAGGCTCGAGAGTTCTGGCGCGAGGGTGTCAAAGAGGATAACGGGGTAGACATGATGATGGTGGGTAGAGTATCTCTCTTGAAGGAGACGAGATTGGAAACCTCGATAGTGTGGACTAGCGTCCCGACACCAATCGATGAGAAAGGGTATGGAGCAGTCCCAGAGTTCGTGTGGAGGGACAACAATGTGGAGTTTGTGATGGGGTTCGAGGCGGCGTTTATTATGATGATGATTATTTTCGGGCCGTTGCCAGGATGTCGCGGTAAACAAAACTAACCCTAATGGGGGCTAGCGTTGCGTTAGTGAGGCGGTGGTAACCGGCAAAACCCCTGGATTTCTCACCGCCCTGCGATGGGGGCAGCCAAACTCGTCCTACCGCCTTTGTCTGCATCATCGACAGTCGACTACAGGACCCCAGACATACGCAAATGCTAAACGGCTGTGTAGGTTTGATCAGGGATCAGGTTTATATGTAGTATGTGACTTGGTATTGTTTCGTTCTATATACAGTGATAGACTCCAGGACACCTTTTGAGCGCTAGAATGCAGCACAGCGAATCATGAACATTTTCGATAACATCAATATCATGGTATCATAGTATGCAAGATAGAACGCATAGCTCTCACACAGATAAGTCTCATGAATGAGTCCTACCGTTGCCTTCAGATAGAAGTCCTCCTATACATGGCCCGTCCCATCGCCATCAACGTCTGTCACAATGATATGGACGGTCTCATCTTTGACTGGCGTAGCATGAGACGCGTAGTGGCAATGCGCAGCTGGCTGAACCGTGATAGAGGCATGTTTCTTTTGTTCAATGAAGAAGAGCTGCACAGCGCCGATGGCTGCGACAAAAGTGCTTCCCCACCAGGCCAGGGCCGTAAAATCGATCTTGGAACCCGTACTATACAAGAAGCCTGCAATTGGTGGAGCCATCGTGCGTGAGAAGGCGCCGGCCGAGGCCGCGAGTCCATTGATCTTGCCGAGAACGGAATCGGAGGGGCTGGCCTGTTTGATGAGAATCAGAAGGACGGGGTAATCGATGATCGAGAGGATGTTGCGGACAACCAAGCAGGTGTAGATGCCGAAGATCACATGTTGGCTAGGAACGAAGATAAGGAAGGGTACGATAAAATAGGCTAGCGGATGAAGAATGGTGACGACAACAAAGAGCCTCCAGACACCCAGGCGCTGAGCCAGGAAAGGGAAGATAAGGCTCTGGATGACAAGTGCAATTATGCCATCACTTGACATGATCAATCCAACGGTTCGAGTTGAGAGGCCGACCCCGCCCGGAAAACGGAACGCCGAATTTGACCACATGGCAATGCTGCTGGAATTTTTATCTTGCAAGAAAATGGGCAACAGATGGTCATACGTCATGGAATGGTAAGTGAAGATTGCCAAGGCGATGATAAGCATGGTCACTCGCCATGTGAAAATAGTCGGCTTTTGCGGAGTGGATTCGGGCTTCGAACCATCGGCATACACTGTCCAATCTTCATCTTCATGGAGATGGACTTGGTTGAAAGTACCGTAGGACTCTGCACGTAAATCTGCGCCTGCGTTGGCGGTAGCTCCTGCAGTTGCAAGTAAAGGACGCTCCACGGAAGGATGATCCAGGTCATCTGGCCTACTGCACGGTTGCATATCAGGGTGCGTCTCTTCAAGTAAGATCCAGCTGGAGATGATGCTGCAGAGAAGTAACCCGGAGCAGACGATATTAGGCAGAAGGTAAGGGAATTTGCCAAATAGGCCATTCATGGAGAACAAGGAGGGGAAACCTTCAGCAGGCTTTGCCAGCAAACCTCCAATCGCTAGTGGATGAAGCCATTAACACCTGTGTCCATTTGTACCTTAAGAGTTTCCATTCCGACACACTTACCTGGCCCGATAATTGTACCGATTGACCACACGAAAGGCATCACAGCGTAAGCGCGGGCTATAGGTGCGCACAGTCAGCAGCAGCTCCAACGAACAGTTACCGCCACGATCAGGGAATACGAGGATCTCCTTACGTTCATGCTCTGGATTCTTGACCAATTCACCGACCATGGTTTGGATCACACCGATGTTCCCGTTTAGAATTCCACCGAGGGCCCGTCCGAAGAGGGCCACCCAGAAATTCGAGGCGAATCCCACGATAAGGAGGGATAGCATCGTGCCAAAACAGCCGGAGATGAGAACAGGTTTGCGGCCGACACGGTCTGAAAGACCGCCCCAAAACATACCGGTGAGGGCTTCACAGAGGGAGAATGCAGAGACGAGGATACCGGCATAGAAAGAAGCGCTGTTCGTATCAGCCACATTGAAGTCCCTGACCATTACCCATGAGTATGGGAAAATGGAAGTCAAGGCGATTGGCTCTGCGACGCGGCATATTGCTACCCAGGACCAGACGTTAGCATAGCAAAGACAGCAAAAAGACAAAGGGATCTGCATACATAGAAGGAAGAGCTGAACGGTGGGAAACTTAGGGTCCGAGGCGGTTGGTCTTTGCTGCAGTGTTAATACCATCTTCTGTACAAAAAACCAAGTCTCTTACGGCAAGCCCTCCGCAAAACAATAGAATCCTTGCCACCGATCCTCCTCTTGGAGTGTCCTTGTTTGCCTCTGATTTGGGAAGTGGAGATCGAAAATAATGGAAAGTGCCGAACGCAAAGAACACCACACAACTGTCGATAAACTTGTATCGAGTTCGTTCTCGTTCTGACGATACCACTGAGTGCTTTCGCTCTTTTTTTTTTTTCCCAGGAAAGGGGAAGGTGACGCAGTAGCAGGATGAGGAGGAAGAGGAGGTGTAGAGACGGGAGGATGCAAAGAGATCGGCGGCCAAATTGTCTCAGCTTGAAGAAAGACCAGCGGATTAAAGAGCGAAAGAGAGAGCGGGAAGCTGGGAAGAAGAAAGAAAGGGAACGGCAATAAAAAAGGCGACGGTGGAGAAGTGGAGACAGTGAAAAGGCAGGTTGACTGGTTCTCGGAACCAAATGATAGTCATTTTCTTGTAGAAGAGACAAGAGAGGGATTTGAGTGTGTGTGGGTTGTATGAAGTAAGGTACACAACAAGAGAGCAGTGGGTGCCACCTGACAGGATGTTCGTCCAAGTGATGCGGTTCCAGGGTCAATCGTGGTCGAATTGTATGGAACCCTCTTTCTTATCCGACTTTCTTGATTTGCCAACCAAACTTTCCCTCGTTGCAAAATTTTCAGCTTTCCAGTAAGCGGTGCTCTTTTCCCACCAGGGAACATTGGCTTTTCTATAAGGGCGCATAATACACAGAATCTGTTGTATCACCGGCACAATTTAGGTTCAGTCGAGCCCCAAGGGGCCGGAACTGCAACCGGACTTTCCTTTGATGTCCACATACATGCCAGTATCCATAGACGGCTGTCATATTCTATTTATTACTAGTAGTAGTAGTAGTAGTAGTAGACGGGGGAGGGATGGATGGATGGTGCTACATTCCTTAAGTAGTGACTGGTTTCCGATTTCCGAGGGCAGGAAAGCTTGCAGGTGGCGAGCATGCCGGTCAATCAAACAGATGGTATGTTTTGTGTGTGCATCTTCGAAAACATTACAGAAATTCATGATCATAGTAAAATTCTCCCCCGAAATCCGCAGGGATATGGGATATTCTTGTAGTCTCTACTTAGTTATAGTAAAGAGTTAAGTTGTTAGTTAGGTAGTTATTTATTGAGTGTGACTAAAAAACCCGCTAGTAACCGATTGCGTATCCACTGCTGGGCCACTTCATCCCGGGGCGCCCCGCAACCCCCAACAAGCAGCAATACATACGCCAATCACACCCCATCTTCCCCTTCGAACTCGATAACTTGTTGATAACCTACTTTAGACACTGCAGGCGCCAAGGACAGCTACGTTAACCATCTGGCTTCTGTCAGACTTTGGGATCACCTTCCGCCATCCGGAAGCTGCTACTCACTCATCGTTACATGACTGAATCCGGTTATGTTGCCTGGAACAAGACAAAGCTCTATCTGATGACCTCGGACAGGCCAGCCACAGTACATGATCTTGTGTGGAGTAGATCGGCATAATGCTACTTATGCAATTGTGTCGTCGGTTGCACGGTCTAGACCGTGGTTCTTACCACTTTGTCTGGATTTCATGCCAGATGTTGTCACCTAAGGTTAATTACTCAAAGCCAAACTTGTCTCTTACCTCCGCAACATATTCTAGCCATAAAGTGGTTCGAATCCTCAAGAATAATGGATACTATGGCGATGAAAGACATAGATCGATCTTGAATATTAGACCTATCTTTGCACATATGTCGACGGGTGTAGGTCTTATTCGTATGTGAAAGTAACACTGAAATTGCCATGAATTTACAAGAAGTGTGTATTTACAATCAGACAACTAGGTAGCAACTCTTCGGATAACAGGTTGCGAAATATTGCTTGGTAATGGGAGGGCACCGGCTGATCTGTACAATTTGCCATGGTATGCCCACCATAAAGGGGAAAGATAGTCTTTCTGTTTGAGTTGTTATGCTCACGTGCTGTATGTCAAAGCATGCATTCGGTAGCACGTGTTAAACCCTCATGTCGAGCGTGAGTCGTGCTCCGACCCTGACGATCATTCGAGATGCCGATTTAATTTACCCCTGGTGCCGCAGATGGTCGGCTTCGATGGCCTCGAGCGACTGGATTGGGTCTCCGGGTAAAAAGGTACCGGACTATGATAGTGTATAATCTGGATATGACATGTGTCCCTAACGACCAGCATTTTCGGACACTGGGATATATAACCGCCGCTCTCTCGCAGCCTTTAGAACGAGTCAGCGCTTCCGTAAAAGAAAGCCGTGGACCTGATGAATAAGATACCTCGAGCCACTTCTCTACCCAAGGCTTAAAGATCGCCCAGGCAAGCAGACTGCCAGTAGCAATGATAAACATGAACACAATGGCTTGGTCTTTCCGGGAGTCTCTCTCTGAAGTACAGGACATGTTAGCAGAGCACGAACAATTTGCGAGTAACTTGGTGGGAAAAAAATCATACGGAAACAGGTGGTAAAGACATCATCTTCCTTAGCACCATGACAGGTGGGCAAGTCATAGTCCAGGCAGAACTTCCGGTTACAATCGTTGCAGTTCAAAGAGCGATAATTCTTCGCTCTTGTATCCAAAATAGCGGTATCATCGCTGCGACGAAGGAAATGGGAGACACCGTTCAAGGCCGATGTCGATTCGGAAGAGTCGGGATCGAGAGGAATGATCGTACTATTGGAGAAGCAGGTGCACTTGCAGAATGACGCGGGGGCTGCGTTTTGACTATTAGCCTCCCTCTATCTTTGACAGTAAAAGCGGAGCCAGCATCGAACACCAGATGATCGGGGGGGTTGACTTACAGGAAGCCACCGCAAAAGAAGTCCAGAGTAGAAAAGCAGTAAGAAGAAACAGCACCCTAGAGGCGCTATGCCGTAGTAACATGGCTGGCGAATTCGCTGTGAGAGGGGTGGTTATCTTATCCCCTGGAATCAAGAGTTGACGTGTCGGTCTTCATTGCTGCCGCGGAGATGATGGTTTATTGGCGCCTGAAGGCGGAAAGGCCAGACCTCCGATCCAGCCCCGGATTTTTGGTACCACGTGATCTACAAGTCATCTATTGAAGACACCAAAGTATCAAAAGCTAACAATAAACCATACCATCAATTGTACGGATAGCCTACTACCATTCCTGTATCTTGATCCCCTGGCGTGCAGCCTACGCTCGAATTCAAAATTTCAGCTAGTGAGACGAAGTTGAACATGACGCTTGCCTGAGCAAGCATGCCAATTATGCAATATCTAATGTCAAAGCTATTTGCAAGAATCATGCAGTAAGCATCGTCTTCTAAGATTTTCCTTTCATCCCCTTGCTGCGGTTCTCCCTCTGCCTTTGCTCCTTAGCAGCCTCACGTCGTCTCCTCTTCCAAGCGCGATTGTTATCTCCCCGATTTTCCCAGAACCATTTGGTAAAATCCGAGTCTTCCTTGGGCCCAGGCGCGGGTTTGGGTACTGGAGTATTCAGGTGCGTCTCATCATCTATGTCCATAGGATCAGGCCGTCCCGCAGTCTTCCAGTTAATTCCCCGACCCATCAAAGCCGTGTCGGGGGTCGGGGCAGCGCTTCTTAATCCTCGGTCTTGCAGATCTCTCTTGGTGAAAGGCGTCTGCGGTTCGGTCGGCTGAACTTCCACTTCATCTTCCGATTCTAAATCGTCTTGCGCAAAGAAACTGAACGGCGCATCCCCCTCTGTTTCAGGCTTCGCTTCAGGAGCACCCGGCGGGGGTCTCTTGAAAAGTGCCTCCAGTGGGTGGACAGTTTGAGAGGACGGTGGGTTATCATTCACGTTTGATGACGCACTTTGATCCACGGCGGGCTTTGATTCATAAGCCACTTCCTCTTGCTCGCGCCTATTTGACCGAACTGATGTATCATCATCGCTGCTGGATGAATCAATCGACTCATCCGTTGAACCAGTCGAATCCTGATCGCTTTCGGAGTCTGTGAAATCTTCCTCAGAAGAACTCTCCCCACTAGACGAGGTCCAGTCTTCTGATTCCTCATCAGACTTTACTTCCTCGAGGGCCTTTTTCTTTTGACCTGTGGCCTTCTTGGGAGAGGAAGACTCATCCTTCACAACCTTTGTCGCCTTTCGCTTCTCCTTGGCTCCGGCTACCTGTCCTGGTCTATACTTATCGCTTCTTATCCGATCGCTGGCCGTCTCTTTCACATTGCCTGCCTCATCTACCCAGCCCTTACCCTCCTCAAATCCAACTGTGGGGGCTGATTGCTCATCCCCAGAACGTAGGAAACTCGGATGTGTAACGGTTTTGGAGAACTCATGAACCACCGTTTCCTGCGCAGATTTCTTGCTCTTCTTTTTGGACTTTGTCTCTGTAGCCTCGTCGGCGGAGGCCTTGTTGGGTGGTAGCTTTGTTCGGAACAGACATTCGGCCTTTTCGGTGTACTTGGACTTGGCCTGCGACTTTGCGGACTTTTCGTCCTTGCTTTTCTTCTTCTTCTTCTCTTCCTTGCGCCTTTCCTGCTTCGAATCTGCCGACTCGGTCCAGCCCCTCTTTACTTGGCGATCCTTCGGGAGCTCATAGCCATCCAGAATTTCCTCGCCCGCTTTCAGCTTCTTGGATTTCTTCGAAGACTTTTTATCGGATGATGACTTCTGGGGAGCAGTGTCGACTTCCTCCTCTTCATCTCTTGACCTTTTCTTTGGGCGAGCGGTATCGACCTTGAACTTCTTGCCCTTGAGAATGGAACCGTTCAGCTTCTTTTTGATTTTGTCGGCTTCCATGGTTGGCAGGGTCACGTAGCCGTAGTTGTTTTCGGGGAAGGTTGGGATGCAATGGAAGGAAATTTCCGTAGCTAGGGCTTTGATCGATGCAGGGAGCACGGCCGGTAGGAGATCGGGGGTGAATGGAGTAATATGCAGGCGCTTCGTATCGGACGGTGTGGTCGTCATTTGCCCAATAGATAGATAGATACCTGAGTACGGTAGCAGTGCAGGTGACGGCGAAGAGATCGGAGGAAAAAAAGTGCGCGTAGGTCAGTCACAAGCGCATTCAGCCTAACAACTGTCTTTGACACTCGGTGAGAAATCAAATCCAAGTAGAATAAGAAAAAAAAAAAAGATTTTCTTGAAGTTGGTCAGATGGGCTTCCAACGAAGCATCAAGCAGACCCTATTGGAATAGTAGATATTCGAGACCGAAAAAATAACGATAGGATCAGTTATTGGCCGAGGGATTTTCCGGGCCGCCAAGACCGGGTATGGAGATGTGGCGCAGGCCTGCCATTCTCAGCCACAGATTTCTTGTGTCGTCCTTCACGTATGAATTTGAGTTGGCATGGCATGGCATGACTCTACCATGGCGACAAGAAAGTACGGTGTGTGGAAAAAGGAAAAAGAAAAAAAATTGTGCAGGGAGAACTCAGCAATGAATGGAAAAATGATTGATGTAAGACTCGATGTATCCATTGGAACGAGATGCAAGTTGCAACAGCAATAAATGGGTTTCAGCCTCCATTACAATGTAACAGTCGGGCCGATACTCAGCCGCGGCATGATTTGGCGGGTGAAAAGTGGATCCGGAGAGAATGATCAGGTAATCTTTCGTACGGCACCAGACCCGACCCGGCCTGCCTTTTACCAGCTGGTAACTGTTGTAATAATCCCCGTAAAACGGACTGGAACTGAACAGTGAACTGCCATTGATCTTCTGCCCTTTTCCCTTTTCTCTTTTCCCCCTTTGAAACTTACTTTCTTCTTCCTCTTCATCGCTTAACTACTTAAGTAGTTTGTCAATCGCCACTCTTCCCCAATATCTAAAAGTAGTTTTTGCTACGAAGATCCCTTCCCCCTACATTACTCCTCCTTCAGCACACCCACACCCACATCCCCCCCCCTGATCCGGCCCCATACCAAGTCTTCCCGCGGCTAACTAAAGCCCGCACGTCTGATCTCATCGCCGCTTCCAGCTTCGACCTCAGTCGCTCACATGGCCACTCGGATTCCTTAGCATCATCTCTTTTCCATCCCCCTCCCCGCCCTACCAACTGAGGGTCCTCTAAAGTGTGCTCCACCTTTCCCTTCCCTTCACTTGTTATTTTGGATCCTCATTTTCTTTCTTCCTGTGTTTCGGGGCGTTCGTTCTTCAAACCATCCCTCGTCACTTCCCTCCTCTCATTACCGGACGGGAACCTCGCTCGCTCCCTTCTCCGCTTTCTTATCCGGACCGCCTCTTGCCAATCTCACCGTCGATTCTAACCCGTCCTTATCCAGTCATCCAACCCTACTATTGTCGTCTTACACGTCGGTCCCCATTCTCGTTCGAGATGGGCAATTCTCAGGCGAAAGAGAGCCGGCCGCTTGCTTCGTCCAGTCGCCGCAGTCATCACCATGGCCCATACGGTGACCGCCACCATGGTGATGGTTCCAGGTCGAATCGGGGTAGCCGGCCCGATCTGTCCCTGCTCGGAATAGGCGGAAGTTCAGAGCGAGATCTGGCGACGCTCGAACATCGACGAGAAACAAGGCAGGAACGAGAGGCTCGCCGGCTAGAAAAAGAGCGGGTGGCTCGGCTCAAGGAGCGGGAGCGTAGTATGAGAGAAGAACATGTGGACGGTGGTTATCTGGTGACCCAGGGTGTCTATACGGGCCCAGAGGATTTCAACAAGGCTGTGGTGCGACAGCTAATGGTGAGCTTGCCGCGCTGCCAAATCTGGCCTTGGAGAGCCCAGAGCCGATGCTGACTATTTCTCTATAGATCGAACGACGACTTGCGCCGTTTTGGAGAGGACTGAATGACTTCTCGGACTCGTGGACAGAGCACCAGCTTATGGCTGCGGCGCGTGGTCTTCCCATTCCCCCTCCCGATGAAATCCCCCCTGAGCTGGAATATAAGAACCCACCCAAGGCCGCGGAAGACGCAAAGGAGGCTTCGGATTCAGCCGCAGTGCAGTATTTGATGGTCCCCATAACGTCAAGATCGCAATCATACGGATCCGATGCTTCCCAGTCTTCCACGCCCGCACATTCCCTCCCCTCCCCAACATCTCCTATCGCATCCGGCACATCGAGCTCACCACTGTTTAGAGCGCGAGCCAAGACTCTTGCGTCGCTAACCACGCCGAAGCATGGAATCCAGTCTGATGCGGCTTCACGTGAAATGCAGTTGCCTCGTGACCCGTTTGTGAACGGACAACCCATTGAAGCATACCTATATAAGGACGCGGCGGAATGCCCTATCTGTTTTCTGTATTATCCTCCGTATCTCAATCGGACGAGGTGTTGCGACCAGCCAATATGTTCCGAATGTTTTGTTCAAATCAAACGTCCCGACCCTCATCCGCCGGAGCATGGGGACTCTAACCCGGATTCTGCTCCAGCTGAGGGTGGTGAACAAGCCGAAAGCCAAGACTGCCAGCTAGTGTCAGAACCATCGGCGTGTCCATTCTGTGTCCAGCCGGAGTTTGGGGTGACATATGCGCCCCCGCCGTTCCGGAGAGGGCTAGCGTACGCTTCTGATCCGAGCTCGCGCCCCAATGTGGCCTCTCCACTGTCTTCCACATCCTCCCTATCCTCCGGGAACACCCCCACCACCGGTCGTCGACGCGCGACCTCGTTATCTGCAAACGATCCAACTGTGATCACTACCGATAGGATTCGTCCCGACTGGGCTCAGAAGCTTGCCAATGCTCGAGCTCATGCGGCGCGGCGGTCGGCAGCAGCAACTGCCCTTCATACTGCGGCTTACTTGATGCACTCTAACGGTGCTGGGAATGATTCCCGGATTGGTCTGGGAAGAAGAAGTGTCATGCGGAGAAACGGCGCGCCCGAAGCCCAGAATTCCAACGCGCGCACCGGATCCCCGGCGCTGCAGGCGCTGGCGTTCCTCACGGATAGGCGTGGAGCAGGCCACGAAGCCGACTCGGCGGAAGAAGGGTCTGGTAACATTGCACCACCTCGCCAGAGCTCGAGGCGGAATCGCATAGATGATCTGGAAGAGATGATGATGATGGAGGCAATCCGACTAAGTCTAGCGAGCGAGGAAGAGCGGCGCAAGAGAGAGGAGAAAGAGGCCAAGAAAGAGGCCAAAAGAAAGGAGAAGGAAGCCAAGAAGGCGGAAAAGGTTGCGCGCAAAACCGGGCTCACCAGTAACAATGCGAGCAGCTCCGCCTTGGATGTGCCTCCGGATGCGCGGCTGGGTAGGGTTACCAGCAGTTCCTCTTCCATTGCGGCTGAGGAGCTTGTATTAGCCGGTAAGGGTAAGGAGGTAGACCGCTCTGAACCAGCTGGTGGCTCTGCCGCTGAATCCAGTGCTGCGGCCGAGGAAGTGCAGCCCGCGGCAGCATTGGCAAGCGCGGCCGACCAAGCGCCGAGTATGTCACCTCCATCAGTTGTCCAGTCGTCATCCAAAGATGTCACGAGGCCTTCGCATCTTCGGCATGTTTCCAGCGCATCGTCATCGTTCTCCTCGCTGGTCGAATCGATGTCGGAAGACCATGCGGGCTCGGCTGAGGGAGCAGGCTCCTTTGCAGAGCCCCTTTACAATTTTCGCAGCTTGGCAGCCGTGATTGGGGATGAAGAAAAGGGCGATGAGGCACCCGAGCATGTTGAAGAGACCCCGTCCAAGCCGAATGTGGAGGGATCAGCCTCGCAGCCGGTGGCAGAGGCATCCGTTGCTGAACCCGCAACCACCACCGAGGCTAAGGTACCCATGGAGGAGCAGCGCGACAGGCTGATGCCGAAAGAGCTGGAGACCCAATCCGTCGAAATTACGAGTGCCACACATGATACGGAGGCTACGTCGTGAAGCTGCCAACGCTACGTATTCAAAGCCAAGGCGAGTTGGAAGGCCTGATGATGATACGCTCCTTTAACCCTTTGTGTTCCTTCTCCCCCCCACCCTTTTCTTCTTCTTCTCCTTGATTTGTGATGACACTGGGACGCATATGGTATCTTTCCTTATATACATACAGTTGCATAGATTTCGTCTGAGCCACCATTCTCTGGGTTTTTCCTTTTATTCTCTGTGTTGAGGGTTCATGCGCGTGAGTGAGTGAGATGATGCGCCTTTTTCTTTCCTATGTATGCGAGCGCGCGGGAGTTGAACTGGCGGATGTGGATGTCATTCAATCTATCAATCAATCGCTACTTGAGCATGTTGTTTTTCGGGGCACCAGATTGCGATGGTGATTGGTAGCTGAAATGGGATAGATCGATTTAACACGGTGTTGGAAATACTGCGGGGATGATTTGACCGAATCTGTCCCTCTTTTTGTTGGCTATCCTATACTTCTTGATCCCTTTTTATTATTCTTTCTGTAGGCGATAGATATCTATTCATCTATCTACTAATGGCCAGTGACCCTGACGGAGGGGATCATCGGCGGGATCGGAAGTGCGATCTCGTTTCAGCCACGCGACGGGCTCCACTGACCCTGGCAGGAAATGAGCCGACCAGCATCCTTTCATCTATTGACCCTGCATTTCAATCTATTCAATCATTCTGTTGTTGTCCCAGGGAAATGGGGAACATACCAAGCATTGTCAACATGGAAGTACACGAACTTTCCCCTAATCACGACCACTACTGCTGCTGCTGGGCAAAGGACTACATGTTTCTTGGAATCCTGGCCTGTCGAATGGATTAGCGCCTCAACAGGGTCCAGTTATATCCATCGGGCCTCCAGCGCATCCTCCACTTCTCTCGTCATCGCCGATCTTTCCTCGCGGCTTTGCCGGCTGCCTTTTCAGTCCCAGTCATCGGCTTCCCTTGAGTCTGCTGCTGCAAAGTCGCCTTGCACAGCCTATCCTAGGCATGACAGCAGGCCAAAGTCACTCCGAGATGCATTTGCATCTTTCATGGGGCTAAAACGAGACAGGATGTTCGGAGGTTCACGAAAAAGGCAACAACAGGATGACGAACGGACGCTATCGACCACTAGTATTCATCCCGAATTATGCTCAACCTTCAGTAGTTCAGCTCGCTTGGCGATTGACCTTTCATTTCACAAGGGCCCTGTTAAAGTTTTGAAGTCGATCAGAAGGCACCCACCCAGGTGCGATCTATCTATCCATATCTCCTGTCTCTTTTTTTTACTCCCTCAGCTGTTTCCCCCCACCCCACTTTTCCCTCGATGACGCTCATTCATTCATGATGCATCATCGTCATTATCCACGGGTGGAGCTCATCCATGGTTCAGCTCGGATTTCCTGTTGCGCGTTCCTGAATCGAGGACAAGCCGGATTTATCTTTTCACATATCCACTTTTTCGGTCCCCCCTGATGATTAGTTAGTTGACACTAATTACTTCCTACTGGTCTTTTTTTCCCTTGAATGTCTTGTTTTAGCGCCTGTTCAGGTTGGATTCGATTTTTTTTTCTTTTCATTTTCCCTCTAGTTTTTTTTTTCGCCTCTACTCTTTTTCACAGCACTCTCTAGGGTTATCAGGCTTCGCACTCTTTCCCTTTTTAATAATCTCCTTCCCTCTTTATCCCCTTTCATTCTTTCCTACTATTGCTCTTCCCTTCTTTGTAGGAAAGTTACCCCGCCAGATCACTTGCGCGCATAGTTCGACCGTGCTCTCCCACGTTTTTGCTACTACTACTACTACTACTATTACTACTATTACTACCACCATCACCACTACCACAAGACTACTGCGTTCGGCCAAGAGACATGGCCATCCTCGACAAAGAAAACCGGCCCCGCGGCCTGCGAGTTCCATCCTTTGCTCGCAAAGGCTTCAAGCAGAAGTCCTCGGATTCTTTGCCGGACAAGGAGCCAGAGCCAGTACAAGCACCCGTGACGACGGTAATCCCACCGCGAACCGACTCGGCTCCTGATTTTTCGGCTCCTGCTCCGCTGCCTGCCGCCGTGCAGCCACCATCATCCGCATTCAACGCCCCTATCCATAATCAAGATGACCTCCCACAACCTGCTCCGCCAGCAGGTAACTACACCCCCGCTCCCCGCGCTTATCAGGCCTATCGTCCTCCTGCTACTTCGGAGCCTGTGCAAAGCCCTCCGGCAAGGAAGGAAGTTCCATTACCTCCCTTACCTGCCATCCAACGCCCTGATGCCGAAGAGCCATTGGAAGACTTCATCCCAGAACCCGAGCCGGAATTGGACGACACTGGCGCGCCTATCGAGCCTGTGTCCAGTGAAGAAAACAATGGCCCGTGGACGCCTCCTGATATTGAGCCTGTCGCGGCACCGCTGAACAAATTGCACTTTGCCTGCTACCAGGACCATCGGTCCATGCCCCCTGCCAACAATGTCTGGCATGCTGTTCCCTGCATGACCTGCCAGAAGTTCGACCGCGATGTTCGATACCGGTGTGTCTTTTGTTGCTTGCGCATCTGTACCGGCTGTTTCCAGACTCTGCAGACGATCCCACGTCGCTCATTGGCGCAGCTAATGGAGTCCATTCCTGCGGCCAAAGCCTGAGGCCATTCCATCCTACTTCTTGATATTCCTTTTCCCGCCTTTCACTCTTCTACTTCAGCATGAAACGGTGCTGTTTCTTTTCATCCTGCCACTCCTCTGTGGCAAATCCTGGATCCCGGTGACTGCTCCGAGCACTGCAGCAGTCGTCACCGGTGTACGTCTGATGGCTCATGGCGCATTGACTGATACCACTGAAATTTCTTTCTTATCAACTGCTTGGCGATGTTGCGTCCATCGTCTGTCTCTCAGCCCTCGGCTTTTCCTTCATCCACTATATATGCGATCCCGATCCTGGCGATTGGGCCTGAATGGTACCCCATGTAATGTTAGGCATATGTTCTGCATGATATGATAATTATAGCTAGTCTAATTCTTCACAACCAACGATTGAGATAGAGATGTGTTACATACACTCACATGGGTGGTTCCATAGCACGCCGGTCTCCATTACTATAAGTAGGCAAAGTCGTTAGTCATGATCTTCTTCCGTCACGCCGGGACACCCTTCCATCTCGGCGGTCTCGTAGCGGTATTTGCACCAAAAGCAGTAGTGGTGTTTTTCGCGGAGATATTGAACCAGCCGGCCCAGTCGCTCGCCTGGCTCCAGCGCATTGAATTCCTCTAGTTCCGGATCCTCTTCCTCTAGCTCTTGTTCGAGAATGGAGGACATCTCTCGACGGCCTCCGAGGGCTTCATGGTCCTCGGGATCGAGCGTTGAGTCTTCATACCCGGGCAATCGTGGGTTCGGGAAAAAGGATGATGGCAGCGATGTCTGCAACATGTGGCGCGTCTGCACGGCGCGCTCCTTTTCTTGCCGCTCGCGCACCAGCCCCCGGTAGAGTATGTTGATCTGAAGTGTTGGTTTGACGGGCCTTTTCGCTTTCTTCGTAGTGGAGGCAGGGGTATCTGTCTGCGATTCTTCGCCGTCCACATCCGGTGTCGCTTGCGATTCTTGCTCCTTTGTCTCTTCTCCGTTGGTCTCGGTTGATGATGGTCCTATTTCCACTTCGCCCTCGGCCTCCGCATCTAAACGTTCAGCCACCTTCTGCGCCGCATGAAACTGAGCTTCAAGCCGTCGTGTCTCACGCTCCAACCGGACGCGGTCGCGGTAATCGCCCTCTTCTTGCTTGACCTTCTTGGTTACTTCGGCGGCTTCTTCGAGGAACTTCCGCTTTCGCTCCGAGTCGAGACCGATTCCTCCTCGGTCCTCCTTGAAGATGAGATTGAGGGGCTCGGACCGGATTCGATGCTCGGGATCCTTGGTGTCCTTCTCACTCTCTTGCGGCGACGCGGCAGGTTTTCCAAGTACTTGGCCCGGCTTGAATCCCAGCTTGGCCATCATCTGAAACCCTTTATTGGAAGGGTCAAGCGTGCTGGTTGATAAGGCGGCATCGCGGCGGGCAGCTTCTTGAGCGGCGCGTTCAGCTTTGGATGGGACTTTGGCTCGCGCTTCGGCCTGCGATTGAGGGGGGGGAAGGGATAGTTAGGTGGAGCTGGAGCTGGAAAAGTTATGCGCCTAAAAACCTACCTCACGTTGCTGACGCTTCTTCTTTTGCGCAAAAGTTTCTTTCTGCTGGGGCTCTTCGATGATCATGGACATGTAGTCCTCCTCTTCGTCGTCTTCGTCGGGTCGCCCGCGTGCGGGGGACTCGGAGTGAGGGGGAAGCGGAGGTGCCATTGCGGACGGGCCTGAGCGTGCGTCGGAGGTAGAAGTAGAGCCGGGACTATGAATATTGGAGAGGGATATAATAGAGGAGAGTTATTGGGAGTCGAATGCGACTGGGATTGGGCTGTTAATTCGGGTCAGATGGACAATGTTGGTAAAGATGAACCCGCGACGGGAAAAAAAAAAAACATGAGGATTTGCGGGGATTTCTGCGTCACATGCGGAGGCGCGGATTATCCCCTCCGGATTTACTTCTCAGCCCTCTTTCTCCTTCATTCACTTTCTCTTCCACTTCAACCCGATTGAGTTCACTTGATCACATCCCAAAAATAATGTTAAAAATGTCCCTAATTTCAGGGTCTTGCTCAGCCCAGCCAAGGTCATTAGCTTCAATCCTTCAGTTGGCCCGTCAGGCCCCCGATTGACCAGCGGGACAACTGCCCCAATCCCTAAGTACTGACCCTTAACAGCGCAATGGCACCAGTCCTCTGCCGTTTCACATCATCTGCACAGCCTAGCTGCAGATTAGGTTTGACCCCCTTCTCAGTTGCGGCATCAGTGCCCGTTGACACTAGCCCCCACAGAGTGTTTCTCCCTTCGACTGTGGCTCGGAACGTGGGGGCGGGTTCCAAGTTCTTATGCCCAGAGTTAGTTGGCTGGCCTTGCTCATCTGGATGGTCAATACACTTCCCGTACAATAGGATCCGTGGTGTTGGCAGGATTCTCCTCATTTCGCCATGTCGAATCACCGCATGCGGAAGGAGGGCGCCTTGCCTGGCAACGCTTTCTCCACATCTGCGGCCCTATTGTTCAGACCCTGGAGCCATTCCCGCGAGATCTGTTCCTGCCGGGGTTGCTTTATAATGCCTGGGTTGTTCTTTCATTGATCAGAGCATGATATCTTGGGTTACAGTTCTCTTATTCGGTTTGAACCGTCCGTAGCCCCAAGGCTCGTTGCACAACATAAAATGATTTTCTTTCATTTGGCACCGTTCTTCTTCCTGTTTGGTCTAGTAGTATCTTCTCAGAACCCTACAGTCGACCTTGGCTACACAAAGTACAAAGGCAAATCTCTACCCAATGGTATTAGTCAGTGGCTGGGAATACGCTACGCCGCTGCACCTACTGGGTCTCTGCGGTTCTCTGCGCCTCGGGATCCTGACTCGGTAGAGGGCGTCCAAGATGCATTCAAGGTATGATACTTCCTACAATAGGTTGGGAAATGTATTGCGAGTCTGTGCTAATGTCAAGGGCGCAGCATGGCCCCCGGTGTGTTCCCACCAGCCAATATCCCACTCCCGCAGGCACGTCTGAAGATTGTCTCTTTCTCGATGTATACGCACCCAGCTCAGTGAAAGATATTACGAGACTGCCCGTTTTTGTTTGGATCCAAGGTGGTGGCTTCAATGCCAACTCCAGCCCCAACTTCAATGGAACAGGATTGATTGAAGCGGCCAACATGTCCATGGTTGTGGTCACCTTCAATTATCGAGTCGGTCCGTACGGCTTCCTCTCTGGATCCGAGGTGCTACAGGGAGGAAGTGTGAACAATGGCCTGAAGGATCAGATCAAGGTCCTGGAGTGGGTGCAAGAACATATCAGCAAGGTATGCGAACACTGGAAGAAGCCATCAAACTACTGCTAACCGCAACCGCAGTTTGGAGGCGATCCCAGCCACGTTGTCATCGGCGGCGACAGCGCAGGCGCAGCGTCCATTACTCTCCATCTTTCAGCATACGGCGGTAAAGACGAGGGACTCTTCCACGCTGCTGCCGCAGAGTCCCAAAGCTTCGCCCCCATGTTGACCGTCAACCAAAGCCAATTCGCCTATAACAACCTAGTCATCCGCGCCGGCTGCGCAAGCGATCCAGACACTCTTGCCTGCCTGCGCCGACTAAACACCACAGAACTGCAGCGCGTCAACATCAACACACCCTTACCCACCGCCCAACAAGCACCTCTCTACATGTACGGCCCCGTCGTCGATGGCTCCCTCATCCCAGACTACACATACCGACTCTTTCAACAAGGCAAATTCATCAAAGTCCCCGTAATCTTCGGCGACGACACCAATGAAGGAACGATCTTCGTCCCCAAAACGACATCCACCGTCGGCGAAGCTGACACCTTCATCCAAGACCAATTCCCCAACATCAACTTCACCCACCTAACCAAGCTGAACAACTGGTACCTCAACGAAAACCAAACCCGCGAGTTCCCCAATTCCTCGCCCTACTGGCGCCCCGCTAGCACCGCGTACGGTGAAATCAGATACATCTGTCCGGGGATCTACATGTCCTCTGTGTTCTCGGGTGCTGGTGTCAACAGCTGGAATTATCATTATGCCGTGCAGGACCCCGCCGCGGAGGCCTCAGGCAGAGGTGTCAGTCATACGGTGGAAGAGAATGCCATCTGGGGCCCGCATTATGTGAGCGGCACGCCGCCGGCGTCGTATTTCACTACGAATGCGGGGATTGTGCCGGTCATGCAGGGCTACTGGACGAGTTTCATTAGGATTTTTGATCCGAATCCGCTAAGGTACCCAGGGAGTCCGGAGTGGGAGACGTGGAATAATGGGCATGGACAGGATTATCGGAGGATATTTTTGCGCACGAATGAGACGAGGATGGAGACGGTTTCGGAGGAGCAGAGAGAGAGATGCGATTATTGGAGTAGTGTTGGGCCGGAGTTGTCGCAGTGATTACATTGTCTTCAATTGTTAATTTAGGTGGTGGTGGTGGTGAAGTTGCTGGTCTAGTATATATAGTATTAGTGTAAATTATACGTGTATTTAATAGATGCGGAAAGATGATATTGTATAAATCAAAACATTCTTTTTTGGCTGCCATTCCACGATCATCATTCCCAATGATCAAACCAAGTAACTATAATCACGAATATATACATCTATATCAACTAGCTTCATCAGAATTACCAAAAACCTGCCCGGCACACGCAGCTAGACCGAGCAGACTCGTCGACATGGACCCATGTGTTTGAAAGTAATGCAACAAAAGAAAGAGAAGAAAAGGCAAAACAAATGAGAAACGCTGCTTTCCCACATAGAGCAGTGAACATTTGATTGATGATTATGATTATCATAATCACCGCTTGCCCTGCCGCAATCTTTTCTCCCTTTCGTAAGCATTCGCCTCGCGACCCTCCTCGTTCTGCACCTCCGCCACAAGTCGCTTGTACTTGCGCTCGTACTCGGCATCGCGCTCCTTCTTCTCGCGGAGCTTCTCGCGCGCAATGAAGTTGGCGTCCTTGCGGAGCTCGCGCATCGCTCCCTTGCGCTCGCGCTTGTACTCTGCCTTGAGGCGGTTGCTCTCGGCGCGCTCGCGGTCCGGGTCGTAGTGCTTGTCCGGGTTGAAGGACTCTTCGAACTTGGGGATGGCGGTTTTGATGGCCAGGGGCCGGTGGTTGTGCAGGAGGAGGGGTCGACGGGTGAGTTTAGCTTGGGATAGATGGGTGGTAACCTTGTCCAGGGTGGATTGGATGGTGTCCCGCACTTGAGTGGGGATGAGCTTCTTGTTGCCCTTGAGGCTGCTGCGGAGGTGGTTGAGGACGTTCTGGACTGGAGTGAAGATCTCGTTGTAAGCGGATTTGCCGATCCAGAGGTCGGAGGCGGTGCCGAGGAGGGTGACGAGGGTGGTGAGAAGGGATAGCTTGAGCTCTTCGGGGTTGGAAGGGGATTGGTCGGTCGTATCCCAAAAGCGGAGCTTGCGGGAGGAGATGGTGGTCTTAGAGGTGGAGAGGTTCAGGCGCAAAGAGGTTTGGGGGCTCCGGAGGGGGAAGGATCCAAGACTCTCACTGGCCTCTTTCGGGCTGAGGTGGCACAGCATGTTGAGGGTGTAGTTGATGAATTCCGGCATGTAGCGCTTGGAGATAGACTGGTATTGCAGGAGTAGGCTGGCTGCGTAGGTGCCGGCGGACGCATCGGCGAGAGAGTTGACGACGCCCTGGCCCAGGTAGCGCGAAATGCAGAGGTGTGCCGGGGTTGCGATGGCGTGGAAGTGGTCGGAGGTTGGGAAGGTGGTGGCAATGCCGGTGAGGATGACGAGGTCACCAGCACGGAGATTGAGCGGACGTTCGGTGGCAATCTGGCGGAGATGGGCGCGATAGGCCTGGCAGACGGTGTCGGGGTGAGTCTTCGCCAGGGAGTGGATGTGACGGAGGATGTTCTCCACAATGGCGAACGGAGGATGTTCCGGTAGATCGGCCATGTATGCAACGTGCTCGACGAGGATGCCTGCGAATCGGCCGAGCTTCATCTTGTTGTCGGGGTGAAGACGGGGATGGTGCAGGGCACGAATCCGCTGGATGACGACAGGGAGGTCCTGCATGGACACGTCTTTGATGATCTCCAGGAACTCGTCATGACTGCCGGGGCAGGGGTATGTGTATGCCAGGCCGTCAGTGGGCTCCTCGGTGCCGTTGGGAGCAGTTGAGGCATCGCCGGACTTGCTGTCAGGGAGCGTAAAGCCGTTGATCAACTCGTCCTCCTGGTCATCCTCAGGCTCCTCTTCGGACTCCTCCGCGGAATCCATCTCCAGATCGCTTTCATCGAAGGAGAGACTAGCATTTGACCTCGTTTCCACAAGGTCGTCGTCGATGATAAAATCGTCTTCATCTTCGACTCCCAGTTCAGGACGAGTGCTCGTCTCGGCCGTGGGCTGTTGCAGACCGAACGCCTTAGCATCGTCCGGTAACGACTCCTCATCGTCATCCTCGCTGCCTTCTTCCTCGTCACTTTCCTCTTCATCCTCCTCTTCCTCCTCGCTTGACTCCTCGCCGCGCATTCGTCGGACACGCTCTTCTTCCAGCTTCTTCAACCGCTCCGCCTCTTCCGCCGCCTTCTCCTCTGCCGTCTTCGTCCGGTCTGTCGGTTGAGACCTCTTATCGAAAGTGAGCTGCTTCAGGCGCTGGTCATACTCCTGCTCGGTCTCGTTCTGTGACTTTCCGGCCAGCAGCGCCGCACGAGCGGGGTCCATCGAGGCGAAATCATCCTTTGGAGGCTCCGGTTTCGGGGGAGGCTTCACGCCTCTCAGCATATCGAAGAGATCGGGAAGACCTTTGTCGAGTTCCTCTCGGAGATCGTCGTCGTCTTCCTTGGCTTTCTGGCGCTCGGCTTTGTAGAACTTGGATTTGGCGATGACTTCTTTCATAACTTCGTGCTTCGACTTCTTGCGCCCTGGCTGCTCTTCGCCTTCCTCATCGTCAAACACGATATCATCGTCTAGATCCTCCTCATCGGCAAACTCTCGCTTCCTCTTGCGAGGCAATTCCGAATCCGATTCTTCGTCCATGTCCAAATCGCCTTCGCGGAAGTCATCTCCGGGCATGCCTTCTCCAAATGACAGAGACTGGCCTTGATGTGTGAGTTGGAATTCTTCGTCGTCATCCTCCAGGTTGAACATCGACTCCTTGCGCAGTTTCTTCTGACTCTCACGGGCGAATCGCTCGGCAGCCCTCTCTTCGGGAGTCATTGTCGGATCATCCTCACCGAACCGGCGATCGAGGATTCCACCAACTTTGTTCTTGCGGTCCATTTCGCGCAAAAGAGTATGACGTCTCTGTGTAGAAAGTACCCCGTCAGTGACACCCCACGTCCAAGGGTTTCCAACCTAGCTCACCTTTTCTTCACCAAGAGACTTGGTCACACCGGGCCTCGCATGGCCAAGCTTCGACTTAGGCCCGACATCGCGCGTGGTCACGTCAAACTTGGGGCGCGAAGTGGCCTTGATCTCGAACGGGTTGAAACGATCGCGAATGGCCTGCAGAGCAGATTCCCGCTTCATGCGATTTTGCGCGGACACACCAGTCTTCGCATTCTGACGCTTTTGTTTCTTGGACTGCTGAGGACCCAAGACTCCGCCGTCGCGGAGGGAGGCCTTGAGCTGTTTAAGCTGCGAAGGCGGCATGGCTGCGTGTTGAACGTCGATAAACAGCAGAAAGCGATGCTTGGGATCTCCACTGAATTTTTTGGCCGAAGAAAAAAGCGGGCTTACCGCCTCGGTGGGTCAGGTTCTGCCGGCACTATTGGGGCTGCCGCGTGACTCCCCGCTTTTCCTCCGCTGCTGGACTTGCAACTATTATCTCATCGGCTGCCAGTGTTGTCGAGTTAAACCATGGGGTCTCATATGAGTGATCGTGTCGTGTGGGTATGTCTAGGTATGTGTTCGCCGACCTTGACATGGATGTCACAAAGCAAGAACTAATCGCGTCCAGGCGTCTCGCTGTTCTTCGCCGTGCGCGGGATTGTCACGGACCTCCGCCGAGTGCGCGAATTGACGGAAATCAAGCATGTTGAGAAGGAGGATAAGATGATCAGTGAGGGGACGGAGGATGGTACGTCGATGTGCACTATAGCGATGTATACGTTGGCTAATCTACCAGTACAGCATTGAACCTAGATACCTTGCTGAAGCTCTCCGATAGCACCAGCTATGATCTCCGTGCGGCGTATGACCGGCCTCGGACGTATTTAGTAGCGACCAGCTAATATAGGATTACAGGGCTCTGCGCATTATTGCTGAACGATCTACCAAGGGCGAAACACGAGATCTGCTTCTCAGAGACCTTGCAACCAGGAACAAACAACGGCGGGGCAAAGCACTGACTGCCATGCACTTTCTTGTTTCTAACCGCGCTCGTATGCATCAACCACCCAGCTTGCCTTGCTATGAGCTCCCCTTATGCTAATGAGTATGTGCAGTCTCACGAACCTCCGTATGCAGCCGATTGAAAGACCCCGCCACCTACAACGCACTCATTGACTGCCTGTGCATCATGACCGACGAACACGTCGAAGAAACAACAACCACAGTCTCCCCTATCCTACCAAAGACAAGACCTCCTGGTGAGAAGAAGGCACTTAGTATCCTGAATATCATTCTGCAAGAGAATGTACCCGCCGCATTAGAAGCCGGCATCGTGAGCCGCTGGCTAGTCAACTACCCGTTCCCGTGCGCCCTATCGGAGCCCTCCCGAAGACAGGATGTGGTGCTTCTTATGAAGACTTGGTGGATGGATGATACCGTGATGAGTGCTATTTTCGGTACCTTGTCTTCCCATCCCGAGGGAGCCAAGCAGCTGCGCAAGTACGGGTTGATGGGCAGCTTGATGGAAGAGAATGATCAGGATGACTACGATAGCGATGTGTGGATGGTGGATGGGGAAGATACGGCCGGGACTAGACGAGTTCCAGGGCGGCGTCTTCGCACCGCTGAAGAACAAGCCGTTAGACGTCGCAGACGGGAAGCCATGGTTTTGAGCGATGGAGGACGTCCATTGGGAAACGATGACATTATACAGTTGCCTGTTTCCGAATGATGAACGATGGGCTACATGGATGAGGGATCGATTAGCGATGATGGTTGCTTTGCATGTTCTTTATGATACCCTTGGTTTCGAGTATGAAAGTCGCCGTATGTGATGATGACGAGTACTATAGCTTAATATACAGCAAATATAAATCTACAACCCCATCCATGCGCTCTTCGCCACATGGTCTGCCTTCTTGCGGCTACTCTTTACCATACCTAGTGCTTTGAGTTCCGACAAAGCGCGGTAAAACAGGGCCATGGTAGTGCGTTCATCACAGGAATCGCCCTGTTCGCTTTCAAATACCGCATAGAATGCCTGCCAAAGGTCATAAACATTGACCAGGGACCCGGACTCCAGATACAGCTGATACAGAATAGACGTGGCGGGCTGATTCGCGGACACCCTAGCAGCAGCCTCGGATTTCTCCGGGGAGTCTGAGATGAGGTAATCGAATGGATTAGACAAGGCTCGTTCCACTGCGAAGCGTGGCCGTGGCGAGAAGATCTCTTTCAGAGGGTTTCTCATGTCAAAGAGGAAGATCTCATGCAGGACGAGATCTTGCGGGGTCTCGAGAGTTTGTCCAAAATATGCTTCGAGCAGGGCGTGGAAGCGGTCGATAATTCGGGTATACTCAACGTGCTCTTGGGGCAGCTTTGCTTTGCTTTTGCTGAGTTTCACCCGCTGCTGGACAACGGTTGTGGCGACGACGGAATGACGCTTGTCATAGGCGGTGCGAAGGGGTTCGGTGCCTTGATACGATTGTATTAAGGCGTCGAATTCGGTTTTGACCTGCTGTAGCTCGGGACGGTCTGCTAATGCACTAGGCAGGATATTTAGTACTTCCAGGAGGGTGGTGGAATCTAGTGTCTTTGCGGATTGAAGGATGTCGGTCACCAATTGCGAGTCTTGGAGCTCTCCTGATAGTGCACGGATTGAGAGTTCTGATATGCTAGTCTTCTTGACGAGGCTGAGTTTCTTCAGTAGCAGGTGCGTCAGTTTTACGCACTGAAAGAGATTGCGCATCTTCTGCTGTCCGTCTTTCAAGTGCTGCAGACATTGTTGGAAGAGACATTCATCGTTTTCGAGCAAGTCACGCACTTGCTTGGCCGAGCCTTGCTCAATCAATTCTTCGCAATAACTGTTACGAGTTTAGTATAGCGAACTACGATGAGCAGCTTGACTTACAATCGGAAAGAAGGAAGATTCCGGATCGCCTCGCACACGAGACCTTGTCGCATGCTCGGAACCACCTCGTCTGCAAGGAGCACCGCCAACGGGTTTGCGAAGAAATGTGACATGTACGCGTACTACAAGCATAAGCTAAATGGGTTGACACACGATCAAATTGAACATACCTTGACCGTCCGACTGAAGGCCTCCGGCGTCTGGAAGGAATCATTGGATTTCTCGAACAAAACATTCGTAATGTTCCTCCCCAGCCATATCTTCCCATCCTGCTCTGCTTGTAACCTCCCATAGATGCGGTCAACGCAGTTGCTCGCTTCATGTATTTCGAAATATCTACCCCGTAACAAGGCGACAGTCGACCGCGGCAGTCTCCCCTCAAAGAGTTCCACGGACGTCGAGATGCCGAACAAGAGTGTGAATGGTATCCGATCAAGCCAGGAGCTGGACAATCAGCCGAAGTGCCACCCAAATTTAGGGATGGACTCACCTTAGTAGAGACAAGAGATCCGTAAGGATGCCCGGATCGAAGGCTTCACTGTCTCGAAATGCAAGAACCAACTTCTTTATGCCTTTCCGCTTCACATAGTCGCCTAGCAAGTCAAGATCGTAACCGAGGAGTCTAGGGCCCTGTATTGGCATTTAGCGCATGCCCTATTGTGTTGTTGGACTGTACATAGTCACCTCTCGGTCTGTAAGGGAAGATTGATAACCATCGTTCCCCTCCGTGTTCGTTATAGCAAATCGGATAATGTTCTTGAGGGTCGTTTTGAGGTTAGGCGCATCACCGGATTCCAGCACAATAGCTCCACCGTCTCCGGCAGTGGTGAATTGATCGTTGAGTCTGGCCAGCAGGCGAGCCAGCGATGAGACATTGGAACCCACGGTTACTAATGCCGCTGGAATACAGCCATCGTACCTGCAATTGTCAGGACATGCAGTCAATCCTTGGGAGCGAATATGCGCGCTTACGTTTGAGGAGAAGTCGAGCGGACAAAGGACGAAACATTGGAAAGGACCTCGGAGTCGACATCATCTAGAATTTCCTAGCCCAGATATTAGTCTTGTACCACTATAATCTCTTCCAACTATACATCACTGACCTGAATCTTGGCCTCCTGGGTTGACCATAGTTGCTGGTATGTTTTATACCGCGCTTCGACGGACTGCTCGTCCTCCTCGCCGTTGAGGAGTGGTACGAAGGGATGTGCTTTCGATCCATCTTGTTCTTCTTCCTTCTTCGGAGCTACCTTGCGCCGTTTCGAGGGACGTTCCCCTGAGGATTTGCTTTGATCGGCGGGCGTGTAGATATACACACCCTTGGGTCCGTAAGTACGGGTTCGCGACAAGGGCATTGAGGGAGCGGTACCTGATTGTTGGTGCCATCTTTGGGCGCATTGGCTGCCTCCACCTCTAACGAGCCGAGATCCATGATGACCAGTGTCTAGCACAAGTAGCAATGGAGCTTATTGAGAGGAACAGCTTGCGGGCTAGAAAGAAGCATGGGACGAGTTGATTCATGGAGTGACTTTCTTTGCGGCGATCGAGCTCGCGGTGGCGCTAGTCCCGATTTGGGTGAAATGGTTTTCCGCCGCGGAGCTGCCATTCTTGTTCTATTCTTTCTTCTCCATCATCTTCCTGCAATCCTCGCTTTCGTGTGCTCTCTTACAGCTGTCGGTCGGTGTTATTTTGCATATTTATACAACCTTGTTCCATGATTTAGTCGCTCATACTTGATGCTCCGCCAGGCTGTCCGAGGAGCTCGTTGGTATCAGCATGTGGCCCGCGGAAGTCCGTTCTTCCCGCGAGCATTCGCCGCTGTAGCGCCACGCTCCATACACTATGGCGGTCCCAAAGATAAGATCAACTTCTACGAGCAGGATACTCGTAAGAGTAAGACACGGCGGAAGGTCGATCCGGAAGCAGAGGGACGCGCCGAGCAGGAAGACGCCGAGAAGGAACTCGCCCGCCTGACCCAGGAGCTGGAAGCGCTGAAGGAAGGCCCGTTTGGTCCCAATAGTCAATTCATTCGAGAATTACCCGAAGAGGATAGGGCTATTGCGCTGGAAGCACTCCGGAAATATGAGGAGGATGAGGCGGCTGGGGCGGCTGGGGCGGCCGATGTCAGTATTAAGGATCTCTACGAGAAGGAGCTCGACGGTCTCTTGAAGAACGAATTCGAAAGCCTGGTCAAGGAAGAGGAGAGTTGGCAGTCTGACGAGGAGGATGATTCGCGTACACTGGTTGTGCGGCGCCCATACGAAGTGGAATTGGAGAACTCAGACTTGCAGCCGTATGCCGACAAGTTGAACAAATGCCTTCGACGGATTGCGAGTGGCGACTCTAGCGTGCGCTGGGAACAGGAACTGTGGAGATGGTATCGCCGATGCAAGCAGGTCGTCCCGAGATTTGTGGAGTCCTTGTCAGAGGAGACACTGACTCTCCTGTGGGATACTCTGGCTCTGAAAAAGTCCACCAAACCCCAGGAAACTGCACGGGTACGCACACTGGCTGAGGACGCGCTATCGGCTGGCCTCACCCTTTCCACGCCTCGTATTCTCACTTACATCGAAACACTCCATGAATGCGGGGATACTCAAGTGGCGTTGGAGAAATGGGAAGCATACCAGGCGGAGCTCAGCCAACGGAAAGAGGACCTGGAGGCATACTGGAAATTAGGAGTCCGGCTATTTGCAGCAGAAAACGATCCTCAACGAGCACAAGATATTGCGCTGGCCTTCTTAGCAAACGACAAGTCACGCCAACCACGCATTCTGATCCCAGTCATCACAGCATGGGGCAAGCGGACTGGGAAGGAAGCGGGAGTCAAAGCATGGGCGATGTACCTGCAGCTCAAGGCATTCCTAGAACGGAAGATGACGATGGACGACTATGACCAAGTCAGCATTGGCTTGCTCAAAGCCGGCCGGCCAAGCCTTGCCATCGCCGTGTTCAAAGACATGATGGTAACCAACAGCGATCCCCGACACGACTCAACCTCTCTCTACAAGGCCGCCGTCGGCTTAGCAGGCAACCTGCAAGCGTCCAGCATCTCCGAACAAGACGTGAACAAGGTCTCCCTCTCTACCCTCACCGTCCTGCCACGGAAGTTCCAGAACCGCTTCTTCTACGCCAGCTGGATGAAGAAACTGATTGGCATGGGCGAGGTCGACTCCGCCGCCATGGTCATCGAGCTGATGTACGAACGTGGCGTCAAGCCAGATGCAAAGCACCTCAACGGAGTCATTGCCGCCTGGCTACGCGACGGCAGCAGCACCTCGCGCGAGAAAGCCGAACGCCTCGGATGGGCCATGGTCCAGCAGCGAATCGACCAAGTCTGGGCGCGCACCTCCACCGAGAAAGCCCCCCAACTCGACGTAAACCAAGAAAGCGCAGAGGACGTCCGACTGCCCGAGTTCATGAAACGGCCCATGCCCGCCGCCACGATCGAGACCTTCTCCATCCTCCTCCTCCACTACACACGGCGCAGCGACGGCGACATGATCAAATACCTCGTCAAATGTCTCGGCGACGGCCGCATCCACCCCAACTCCTACTTTATGAACCACCTCCTCTACGCCGAGCTCCGCAAACAAGACATCGGCTCCCTCTGGAACAAATACCAATCCCTATCCGCCATCACCCAACCCGACCTCGAAACCTATGCCTGCCTCTGGGACTGCGGCAAGCTGCAATACGACCGCGGCCGAACCGCCTACGTAACCGACTTCCCCTCCGCGCGACATCTCTTCTCCGACATGATTCGCTGGTTCACCAACCTCTCTGCGCGCGCACAAACCGCCACCCGCGACGAATTCTCCAAGGAACTCTACGACCAAATCATCCGCTGCTTCTGTCTCTCCAAAGACCTCCCCGGCACGCTCATCGCCCTGTACACCATGCGCGCGCACTTTGGCTTCTTTCCCGACGACACCACAGCCCGTTTGATCGTGCTACAAGTCGCCCGGTTAGCAGGTGTTCCGGCTGAGACACCCAAGCGCCGACTCCGGCGGTTGTCCAGCACACCTAAGAGCAAGGAGAATATCAGCCACGTTAATCGGCTCGTAGATATCCTCAGTGATCGGAAGCTCGGGGCGCTCGCGGCCCGTGGTCTGGAACTGAGTGATCTCGAGCAGCACGAGCGCGAGCAGTATCAGTTGGAGGTCATGACGGAGCTGTTGCGCGTGGTGATGGGTCGGCGGGCGGCTGGAGGGGAGGGTCACAGTGCGGTGGAAGAGGAGATTGCGAAGGTTGCTGAGCAGATGGGGGTAACGGGTGTGGATTTCGGGATGTCGCTGGGGGATGATTTGTTGTTGTAGGGGGGTGAGGTGTTCATGAGCATGGTTGGCGTTTGGCTATGTCTTTGGCTTCTTGTCTAGGTTGTTGGTGTGGGTGTATATATAAAATGGTGAATCTGGGGGTATACATGTAATATATTATAGTATCATGATAGAATCGGATGTCCTCTCTTCAATTTGGCTTCAGCCACGTTGTTCCCAAATTTCGGTAATACTACTACTAGTAGTACTATCAGGTACTATACTTGACCGAGAACTACTCTGTTAGATGTCAGTGTCATGAACTCTGACTGGGTCGCAACACCAGTGGCACTTGATATTCCACATTGATCACCCTATACACTACAGCCATCAACCCAATCTACTTGTTAAGGGCTGGTATCACCAGTACCAGAAATAGATAAGGATATATAATGTGATCATAATACACCGCACCCATATAACCTAACTGAAACCCAGCAAAAAGATAAATGTCAAATCTATTTCTTCCCAGCATTCTGCTCATCCGCCTCCACCAACACCGCATCATCATCACTCCCCGCCACCGAAGGCGGCGCACCAGACGACTCGGGCGTCTTAGTAGCAGGCGTAGGAACACCGGAACCCTCCTCACTAGTAGTCGTTGACGCAGCAGCAGCAGCAGCAGCAGCAATAGCAGCCTTCTTCTCACCGGCCTCCTCTACCACCTCCTCTTTCTTCTCCGCCTCGACATCCAACTCCTTCATATACCCCTCCTTCCTCTTCTCCCACCATTGCTTCTCCTCCTCCAGCTTGGCCTGCTGCTTCTCCATGCGTTCCCGGAAAATGGCATTATTCAACATTTCATTGGCCGATTGGAAGATAGTTTGGCCCCAGCCGGGGACATAGGCGTTTGCCTGTTTCATTCCCCCCAGTTAGTATATTACAATTTCCACATCAGGGATCAATAAAAAGGGAGGGGATGGTCTTACCTCAGCAACAACATCCCTAACCTCATCCTCCATTTCCTTCTCAGCACGGAGAAACCGCTGCCACAGATCATCACCGACACTACCGCGCTGGAGGAGCATAGCGAGAGCGCCCTTTTGCGTGCGCAGGGCCATGACGCGTTTGATGTCTTCGATGGCGCGACGCAGGAGAGCGGATTTCAGGACACTGTCGGGTACGGAAGACGGGAGTTTCTTGCCGTTGGGGTTCTTGCTGGCGTCATTGCTGGCGGAGGGGTCGAGGTGTAGCAGGGAGAAGTAGATGTCGCGTTGTGTGTGGGGAGGGAACCAGGGTTCCAGGGAGAGGGACTTGCCTGGTTTTTTGGGCGTTTGGTTAGTTTTGGGGAGACGGAGAAGAAGAAGAAGAAGGGGGAAGACGTACGGGCTTTGCGCTTGCGGTAGAGGGAGGAGAAGGTTGCGAGGGAGCCGAGGAGAACGCCGAGGTAGGCGAAGGGGACGGCGAGGGTGAGCCAGTTGACCATTTTGGTTTATTGGTTGTGGTTTCTGTGTGTGGTGTTGGTGTGGTGTGTTTGGTATGTGGTGAGTGTAGGTTGGGTTGGGCGGTGATGTTGGTTGGTTGGTTGGTTGGTTGTTATGGTGTGTTTGTTAGACAGAGGTCATAGTAGGGACAGAAGTCTTGGTGTATATGCTCGCGACAGATGCAATGAACGAATGAATGGACTTGCAGTTATCAATTAATTGCCTGCAAGGATCAACCCAGCCGGGGGTGAGAGGTGTAAATGGGTGAAGGTGGTTGTGGTGGGCGGAAGATTGCGGCGGAGCAGCGGAGATGGAAGAAGAAAGCGAGGATCGACGAAAGGCCAGCCTGGTGTCTTGGCCCGTCACATGCCACCGCCTAGTAGCCATTTACTCTTACTTTTTTTACTATACTCCAGAATCAACATAGCAGTTACTCTAACTGCACAGATAGTATAACCATCGTAGATGTATTCCCCAGTCTATCTACAAGAATACAGCCTTTTCCAGCTAATTCAACACGTCGGCAACAATATGCTGCACACCCAGATACATGCAAGATCCAAACAAATGACCGCCCATAAATCAGTACCAGTAGCAAAAAGAGCAACGCAGAGCAAGCAACACAACAAACAAAATTCAAGACAAGCAGGTATAAACATACGATACAATCCATGTCGCTTCAAAGAGGTATAAAGGTAAAGGGGGTATGATGGTATCCCACAAAGCAATCACACATGAAAACGCTCCTCCATCTACAGTGGATACAGCTGCTCCTTCGTCTTCTGGCTGATCGGCCCTATCTCCTGCATTGCCTGCATGTCCTCCAGCACTTCGTTGAATGTGTCCTGGATCCCCGCTGCCACCTTGCTCCGATTCCATTCTCCCCGCGTCTGCCACAGGTAGTCCATCAGGTTTGTGTTGATCTGCTCTAGCTGCTCCACGCTGCAGCCGCTCGTCCGCTGTGTGAGCTGCTCGTGCAGCTTCTGCACGTATTCCAGGTCCAGCGTTATTTTCGGCGACAGGTCCTCATTGTTCAGCAGCGACTGCATTCCCGCCGGCACATGCGCTGCCGGCTTCGTTGGGTGGTCGAACAGGGGTACCGGCGGCTGGGCCCGTGGCTGCGAGTGCGCCGGGCCATTTTCCAGCGGCGCCATATCGACAGCCGGTCGGGGCGACGGCTGGCTGCTGTCTCCCTGTTGTGTATCCGGAAGATGTTCCTCCTGCGATACCCGGTCCGGGTACTGCGTGAGATCGGGAAAATCATGTCGCATCCCTTGAGTGGCTACCGGACTCTGCGTGTACGGATTTGGCACTGAGGACTGCTCAGACGACTTCTTGTCCGACGTCGTCTGTGTCGTCGATGCCTCATTAGTGTACTCGTGAGGCTGAGATCCGGGCGCCATGGGCGTCATGGGGCCCTTCTGCGAGAAGCTTGAAATTCCCGACTCCCGGCGCACCTGCTGCGATGGCGCTGTGTGTGAATAGGGAGGTTTGGGCTGCGCCGACGGACCAAACGAACTCGTCTGTGTTTCCTTTTCGGCAGAGTGATCCGAGTTGGTCATGTAAGTATCACCATCACCATCCGGGCGGTCCTCATGCGAGCCGTTGCTGGTGAGCGCATGCGTACTGAGGTCGTTCAGGTCCGATCCGCCCCCGGTATGGTAGCCATTAGTGATGAAGCTCACTGTCGATCGACGGGTAGGGGTCACCGGTCGGGCCGTCTCCTTCGGACCAAGATCCGGGAACGTCTCACCTAGGACCACCGGCCCGCTGGACGGGCCCGACTCTGTGTTGCCGTGCGGGACTCGGTTTACCGCCGCACGACCGATCAGGCCTGCCTCCTCTTCTTCCGCCGCCTTGCGCGCCTTTTCGATGGCAAGTTTCTCTCTCTCCAGTTCTCGCACGTAGACCCCTTCGCATTCCGTCACCAGAGCGGGCTCAGTTTGCTCGATGGTAGCAATATCCACCTCGACATTGGACAACAGTTCATTAGCACGCAGCAGTCTTTCCTGCTCCCCTAGCTGCCGGGCGTCTTTAGCGAGCCTTTTAATGTCTGCCAAGAAGTCCTTGGGCCGCTTGTAGTACCCGTTCGACAACCGCTTCTCGATGGTGACTATCTCGAGGTTGTAGAAGAATTTGCCCGACACGGCCTCGCGCAGCCCAGGCACTCCATTCTTGTCGAAGGCCTTCTCAAACGGCCGGAAGGTGGTGCGCTGCTCTATCGGTAGATCACTTGTCACAATGTTCGGGTCTTCCTCCTCCCAAAGGTAGCGAATCTGAGATTCATCGATCACGCCAGTGCGGAACCGCTTGTACTTCTTGATCTGATCCATAATAGGCTGGATGCGGATCTTGAGGAGGTTGAGAGTTTGGTGGTCTTTCTTTTTCTGCGCCTTGAGCTGCTCCTTGGAGAGGGGCGTTGCTGGCTTAGGGGGCGGCGGGGGCGCAACTTCCAATGTCTCCAGCTCCCTCTTCTTCCGATTCTCCGGGTCGGGCAGGTGTGCAGGTGATGCCTTGACGTAGTCAATCACTTTAGTAAAGTATTCGTAGCGTGCCTCGCTACCTGGCGCTCTGAGATCGTAAAAGTTCTTCTTTGAATACCCAAACAAGTTCCGCAGCACACCGTTGTCCATATCCTCACCTGCCGACTCCTGAACGCCTAATAGCAGCACAGGATCGGTCGGAGGGACTGACCGCAATAAACCCAGGAACGTAGACATCACGGCCGGGCCGACAGTATCAGTCCAAGCCTGGATGTTTGGAATGTAGATTACACTCGGCTTGTGCCTTTTGACTTCGGCGAAAAGCTGGATGACGGCAGCCTCCGGTGACCGAGTCGAGTCGCTGAGCAGGGTAGGGAGATCGAACGCTTGGACATGGAGGCCCTCGAAATGGTGTAAAAGGGCGCCGGCCAGATACTGCTGGCCCATTCCTAGCGGCCCGCGGAGCAGCATGCGCGGACGGAATACCCGAGACCGATCGAACTCCTGTTGCATTTGTTCGCGCTGGAAGCTCCCTGATCCTTCCGGTTCCTCAAACTGCGCCTCTTCTAGCGCTGTAAGTCTCTTTCGCTGCGGCAAGATCAAAGACAACAAGTTCTTGATCTCCGTGAGAGGCGTGCGCAGCAAAGGCTCGACCGAGGGGGGCAGGGGTGAGGCACCCGACGAGGTTGATCGCTCCGACGACGGGACCATCTTCTTGATCGCCAACATGAAATCCTTGGGGGTCACTTCAATGGTCTTCGGGTCGATGAGTAGCTTCTGGTTAGACTTGTAGATTTGAGGGTAACGTCGTTGCACTGCATTGAGGGCTGCTTCTGTGCAGAGAGCACGAAGATCAGCACCTCCGTAGCCCTTGGTGATCTCCGCCAGCTCATCCTTAATGGGGCCAGGCAGCGGTGGATCCCAGCCCTTGGTGTGGATGTCCAGGATAGAACGTCGGCCATCCTTGTTGGGCAGAGGAAAGTAGAATTCGCGATCGAAACGACCAGGGCGTCGAAGTGCTGGGTCAATTGAGTCGGGACGGTTCGTGGCGCCAATGACGATGACTTGTCCACGTCCATCCATACCATCCATCAACGCCAGAAGAGTGGATACAATCGAGGCATGGATTTGTTCCTGCTTACTTGACCGTACAGGTGCCAATCCTACAGCAGTTAGCTTTCAATAATCTCCCGACAGAGAGGGGAGTCACTTACCATCGATTTCGTCAAAGAAGATAATGCTAGGCTGTGTCTTTCGAGCCTCTTCGAAGAGCAACCGAAGTTGTCGCTCCGCCTCACCCACCCATTTACTTAACGCGTCGGCACCCTTGCGCATGTAGAAGGTCACCTTACGGCCATTTGAGCTGACACTGTTCGCCAATGCTCGGGCGAGCAGCGTCTTACCAGTTCCGGGAGGACCATGGAAAAGCACTCCTCGCGGAGGTACGATGTGGAAGCGTTGGAAGATCTCTGGATATAGTAGCGGCAGCGACACCATTTCCTTCAACTGGTCGATGTGTCCCTGCAAGCCACCAACACTGTCGAAGTTGACGCTCATATCCACACCCAACGGGTCAGCATCAGCCAGTGTCTGCTTGTCTTTAACTTTGCCGAGATTTGCAGGCGTCCCGGCGTGGCCCTGGGCTGCATCGGCGCTGTGAGTCTGCGTGCCCAAGAGGCCGGCACCAGGCTGCGCAGGGCCCGAGATGGAACCCCCTGCACCACCCTTGGGATGCTGCATAACCTCGTCGTCACTGCTATCGCTGTCTACCCCACCCGTAGCAGCCGGTGCGCCCGGGGGCCCCAAAATGGCAGACGGCCCGCCGCCACCGAATGGCCCATATGTGGGAAACAGGGTGCGCTGCCAACTGTTGCCGCCGCCTCCCCGGCCGCGGCGTGAAGGGGATTCATTGACTTCGTTCTCGGCCTCCTCAATGGGCAGGATCAGATCAGGCCGGATGATGCGGTAGTCAACATCCTTGCGACTGCGGCGAGGCTTCTCGTAAACAATCTCCTGTTGTACTCGCCGACGAGGACGACCGCCGCGAAGATCCTCCAATTCCTCTGCGAGCTCCTCCGCGATGTCAGCACCCACTTCGGACTGTCCCCGGGATCGGGAGGCGCGCTTGCGGAGACCCGGGCGACGGCCGGCGGTGCTGTCCTCATCCTCCTCATGGGCCTGGCTTCCCTTGCGTGGTGAAGCTTGCGACTTCCCAGACTGTGAAATCTCGTCGTCGTCATTAGACTCTTCTTCCTCTGGCTCGAAATCACTCTCTTCGTCGTCTTGGCGTTTTCGTTGTGAACTTTTCGGCTTCTTTCGACTGGAACGGCGCGGGTGTGCAGCCTCGTCTTCCTCGGGCTGCTCGGCCTCGTCGTCTGCCTGCTGGCTGCGGTTGGGTCGATTCCTCCTTCGTGTCGTCGGGCCCTCATCCTCCTCGTCGTCGTCGTCATCGTCGCCGCCGCCCTCCTTTGCATCGCCATTCTCAGACTCTGGAACGAACCCTTCATCATCTGCTGTGGTTGTCTCTTGTCCCTCGCCTGCTGCAGGCGGCATGCCGTCCTCGAAGCTGATCTGAACATCGCTTTCCATAATTTCGAGTTGAGAGCCTTTGACCTCCATGGTGGTCTCATCGACCATCTCTTCATCCTCCTGCTTCGGCTGCAACTCCTCCTCTTCCTCCTCCTCATCGAGCACCGGGGCCCGCTTCGAGCCACGGGACCCCCGACGCCGCTCTAGCTCAGGGCTCCGTGTGGTTCCTCGTTCGACGGTCTCCATATGTCGTCCGGACGTCGTTAGGGCGTGGAAATCCTCCGATGGATCCCGCGTGCGCCGAGTGACCCGGCGGGGGCCCTGAAAGTTTTGTTTCAAGGCGTCGCCGACCTTCAGGGTGACCACCGTACTCTTGCGTTTCTGGGGCGAGGGTTTAGGGCGTTCGTCATCGTCCGTATCGTCGTCGTCGATGCTGCTGGATTCGGGTTCGTTGTAGAGGGGACGGTTCGTAGCGGCCCGGCGAGCGACTAAACCGCGAGCATTGCGTTGAGCGTTGGTATCATCGTCCTCTTCTTCGGACTCGGCGAATGAAAGGTCCTCGGCCTCGTCGAAGATCTCGTCATCGGAGATAATGTCGTCGTCGGAATCGCGACGGGCCCTTTTCTTGACGGGCTTGGACTTCTTCTTGGATTTGGTTCGAGAGGCGGAGCGTCGAGATGAGCGCACGGGATGATCGCTGTAGTCGTCATCGTCCGAGTCGGACTTGTTGGCCAACTCCTCGATGGAGCGCTTAGCACGAGGCATGATGCCGCGCCAGACAGGGGATCTTTTGCGAATTGCCATGTTAGTAGGGTGAACAAGACGAGGAAGTGATAGATTAGCAAGCAGAGGATGGAGAGAATGCCATAGAGAGCAGGGAAGATACAAGAAGCACGAGGGCGATGAAGCGTGGAGTTTAAGCCAGAGACGGGGAAGATGTCCCGCCGCGGCGATTAAACAGCGGAGAAGAATGACACTGGCACTTACAGAGGCCAATGTAACAAGAAAGTGAATGGAGGAATGAAAAGGCCCGTTGCAAACCGACAGAAAAGGCTGGTAGAAGGGGAAGCAAAACTCGAATACACTCACTCGGACAGACACACACAGAGCGAGCGATGGAGAGGTCTCTCACTCAACGAGCGACGATGATGGTAGATTCTCAGGCAAACCCACAATGAAAGCAGGTTTCAACGGCCATCAATTATTAATGGAGAGGGAAACAGAGGCCGTGAATAATACAACACGAGGGTAGGAGAGGGAGTGGGAGGGAAGAAAGGAAATAAAAAATAGAAGACGACGGCGAAGCGCAATGCGCCAAAAGCAAGAGGAGAGAGAGAAAGGCAGGGAAATGAAATGAACGGAGCGAGGCTCACGGACTGACCAACCGGAAGGGACGCGTCGCATGCAAGCTGCTCAGCACAGGGGGAGGGGAGGGGATTGGATCCCCGATGGAGAGGAGGGAAGAGAAAAAAAAAGGCAAATGAATGAATGAAGAAAGAAAAAAAAAAAGAATCTCCAAAGTGGCCAAAGTGATAGATAAATCCACCGGGGAAGAGAACGATGGATAGATCAAGAGACCGGAGATGCTCACAGCAGCAACAAGCAGTGAGAGAGAGAGACACAAGAGAAGCAGCAGCTGAACTGCGCGGGCAATTCAATTCAGTGCCCGGTCACTGGCCTCAGGCCACCACCCACCCGTCCCCGAGTGGTTACTAACCAGCAACCAGTTCCTAATGTAGTCTAGCGTAGCCGCCAATCCACGACTGTGCGCACCACAAACCAAACAAGTATCAGCCCTTTCCATTCTATCTTCGCTATTTCTCCCGTCCTGTTCCCCCCCCCCCGTTCCTTTCATAACAACATTCAACCCCCTCTATACCCCAAACAACAAACTCCCATTTCACCTCTACATAGACTCAAAATAATACAAAACTAAAATATCTCCTCGAACTTAAGAATATATCTTATATCATTTCCAATTATAACCCACCAAAAATCCAAAACCTTCTCCAAGATAAAATCATAAAAATCATAGTAGATCTTGAACCACATCTCAGCCCCATAATGTGCCTAGATAGTTAAAAAATAAAAATAGTAGCCCACGATTTTTTCCCCACGAAGCTTATCGCCCTTAAACTCCTTGCCCCTCCCCGCGTGTTCTCGACTTTCGCCTCTCGCTTGATATCATGTGACTGTCTGGCCGAAGGCATCGCTGAGTCAGCACGGTCCGTCTCTCGCCGAAAGCAACTTTCAACTTGCGGAGATACATACATATCTACTACAGAAACAAAAATCATATTTATTGTCACTCCTACCTTATCTAATAACTACCATTGAAATTCATGAAAATGTTCTCCCGCTTCTTCACCCCAATCCTCCGCTCCCGGATCCCCATCACTCAGCGGGCCTCCCTGTCCACCTCCACTGCCAGATGGAGCCAGGACTCGTCATCATCCAGTGCTTATAGGGAAGGAGTAAGTATATCCATCTATTTATCTACTTACCTACCTGTCTCACCATAAGTCAATTCAATGCTTACCCATGCAACCAGATGGCCCGCTACAAACTCTTTGTGAGTCCCTTTGCCAAGGTCTTCCTCGGTGCCATCTTCACCTATCAAGTCATCCACTGGACGTGGTTGAAGTTGGAGATGGATGAGTCTAAGGCGGAGAAGAATAGTAAGTGCCCTTTATCCTCTACTTGATCTTTGGTTCTTGTGTTGTTATGAAATTGAAGGACAGAATGTGGCTGACTGATCCCATGTAGAGGAGGTAGAGGCGCTGGAGAAGAAGGCTAAGGAATTGACCGGCGCGCAAAAATAAGCGTTTCATCGCCTCGTTCAATTGGTTTATTACTTGTGTCTTGGAGTGTATATATACCCCTACTTATCTCATATTTATATATTTATGTCTATGTGGAGTGCTTGTAGTAGTGGTAATTTTGTTCTTGAGTCTTGATTGTTGGCATGCGTGTCTTCGTTATATATGTGTGTGTGTCCTAACGCTATGAAAAACAAAACAAATGATGTGACTGGACGTGGCTAAAGTTACATGCCCCCCTTATCTGTCATGAAGATCCTCCAACCATAGTAGGCTCATCAATACTGTAAAGATGGTGGAGCACCGCTTGATCCGTGCCAAGTTATTGCATCCCCTCGTGCGAGGCTAGGCCAAGACAATAAGCTGAGCTGCCTTCGTGAGGCAACCGACTCGGCTGCATGGTGTCGTCACCACGATAGAACGATCCCCATGAGGAATCGAGTCTCGACCGTTTGTCCAGACCCGCCATCTGTGCGACATGTCTGTGAGGGTTCGTTGGAGACTGTAGCGCCGGAAATTTTCGCTTCCGCAAATTCGACGATTGAGGGTAAGAATTAGACTGATTGTGTTGCAACGAGTCAGTCTCAGGCGTCGGTTCCTCGTCGATCGCCATCAAGTCATCCTGCAATGGCTCGTGCTCGGCAGCGCATTCGCTGCTCACGGATTCGTCATCGCTGATTTCATCCATGGCCGGCTCACTCTCATACCCGTTGCCGTCGGCCCGTTGTTTCTTGATCTCTTCCCGCTCTTGACTCTTAGTTAGATGTCCAGAGGGGAGGAGCCAGTCTTCCACGCGCTCGCCTTTCTTGAAATGTTCGACATCGATGTGGTTATATCGTTCGTTCCAGGCGCCCACTCCCTGTGTCTTCAGGGGTAGCAGGACCCGACAGAACCCGCACCAGTAGTGCGAGGGACGCGGATCACCGTCGCGGTTAATCCGATTGTTGCACAGTGACGCCCGGACCTCGTCGTCATCGGTTTCGTGATGCTTCTTCAGGTGCTGGACGTATATCTCCTGGCGGTAGAATAGGCGCGCACACGGGAGGCCCTCTTGCGTGGCATCGGGCAGGGTGCACCGCCAACACTGCGCGTGGAAATGCTGGGAGTTTTCGTGGCGTTTCCAATCGGCCTTGCTGCCGAATGTTTTGTTGCACTTGGAGAAGGTGCATCCATATGGCCGTTCGTGGCGCTTCTTATGCTTCCTTTCAAAACCACTCAGTCAGAAAAGCCCCGGCTGATATTAAAAGAGAACCAAGGCTCACTTACTTCATCTCACATCGCAGACGCGTCCGCTTCGTGCAAAATTCACATTGAATCCAGCCCTTCTTCTCACGGTCTTCATCTGGAGTGGCTCGGGAAGGGGCGTGGCTGGAGCCAGACGGCCCGGAAAGACGATCAAGGGCGGCGGACAAGATCCTTTGTAGCATATCGCGCTTGCGGTCCGACAGCTCCACATTCTGGTCGACAATTTCGTCTCCTGACTCAGATTGCTGGCTTCGTCTTCGCTCGTTGGTGTTCATGGCCTTTGTCATCGCATTGATCATGTTGACTGCAGCTTCGTTGACCATGTCGTCCATCTTTCCGTTTCTGGCGGTGTCGAGCTGGGCGGGTAGGGGAACCTTTTGGTCCAACGAAGATTCCAGATTGAGAGCTCTCAGAGCGGGCAGCTCGCTAGGGAGTGGCTTTGCAAGCGGCGCTTGGACCGATGCAGCGTCAGCGCTCCGGTCGTTGTACTCTTCATTCATTCGCATAACGGTATCTGGTGTGAGGGTCTCAGGCGACGGAAATCCTCTATCGACGCTAACTGGGGAGGCCGAAGAGCCTTGAATTGTATCTTTCGCAATACTCTCGGACTGGGAGACTGGCTCGGCCTGTAGGGTTGGCGCTTCTTCCGACAGGGAATCGATGAAAGAGGACCCCAGCTCCTGCGGCTTCACGCAGGTTTCATACCACTCATGCGACCTAGATAAGATGTTAATGTCTCCATCTTGTAGCTGATACGCAGAGTGTTCAAGTGACCTACCTCCGTAGCAGCTCCTCAACGTCCTCGTCACTGTGCATACGAGCAAGATGTTGACGGAAGTTGTCCAACCGGGGCCATTTCTTATTCCGGCGTGGGCAGTTATGTCCGAAGCACATGTAGAGGACTTTCGGCCCCCGCTCAGGCTCCTGCTTGTGAACACACTTCTTGTGACGAGCCAGGTCGTTGATGGTACCGAACCCCTCTTTGCGGGTGCAGTTCGGCTCGTCGCATTTGAAGAGCTTCTTGTGCCTGGCTTCGTGTTTCCTGTGACAGTCAGCTTCCCAGCCCTTTTACTGAAGCAAGCACCTAAGGGAACGCACCTTTTGTCGGAAGGACATTTGCCAGTCCATTGACAACCAGGGTAGTCACACTTGATCACGTCCTGGCACAACAAGGACGGAGAGTCCAACGCATCCATGGCGTCACCATATGGGGCGGTGTTGAGGTCGAGTGCGGATACTCTATCATCCTGCTCGTGGTCGAGAGGTGCCAGAAATGGGCTGCAGGCCGACTCGAGGGCGTATGATGCAGCCACAGAGCGGGTGGTGCAGCCCTGCGTACTATATCCGGAGTCGGACAGATGGATACCGGTATACTGACTGCCAGCCTCGGAGGGCGTGCTGTGATGCCCACTTGATGACCGGCGATCGAGGCCGTAGACTTGGTGCGAACGCGGGACAACGAACGCAGCGGGATAGATGGGCCCACCTGTCACTTGGAGCGGGTTCCACGCCTCTTGGTCGTTTCTCCATCGGGTCAGCGGAGGATAGGCGGAGGCATCGAATAGCTGGGGGAGGGGCGAGGATGATTGCTTGTGATACAGTGACCATGGTTGAAGAATGGATGGATGACTAGGATGAGGAATGGCTGGCTCGGATGCGAATTGGAAGCCCAAGAATGACGCCGGATCGCCCAGCGTGAGGTCGGACGGGGACAGCCCATCGGATGAGAGGTCGACCTGCGAAGAACCTGACGTAGGCACTGCCCGAGTGCCCATGATTCCTTGTAGGATATCACTGGAGTTGTCCCAGGGTTTGCTGGGATCGGATGTCTGTGTCACCAAGAGTCAGCTCTGGCCCGTCTCTTGGCCGGCCGGGCATGTACATATATCCCGCCCGCCGGTGCATGACTGAATATTCAGGGGGGATAAACAAAAAGAAAACTGCAACATACACTCATGATGTGTGTGATAATGGCAGGATGAAGCAGATCCTACAGGAGTAAGCTCACCCGCTTTCTCGGTGTGTTATTGGCGAGTAGGAAGATAGCCTCTGGCGAGACGGGAGGAGAGGGCGGACACTGGGAGGTTTATCATATAGCAAGAGGGGACGAAACCCGTCGTGAGGAAACCGATCGGGTTCTAAACCGAGACGGCGATGATGAGCCACAACGCTCCTATGATGATCAATTTCCTTTTCCCCTTCGGGGTAGAATCGTTGGGTTAGGAGATTGTCGAGCACTGGGTCCCAGCTGAGAAGAAGGAAATGATAGAGAGCCGGTAGATCGGCCGCGTATCACTAGAAGGAATAATATATTGGGAGACAAGAGGAGGAGGGAGGAGAAGGAAGAGGGAGGGGAGAATCAGCTGTGGTCGGCGACCAGAAAGACACCTGGGCTAAACGAAAGCAGGAAAAGAAAGGGAGGAGAGTGAAAATCAGCCGGATGAGCGACCGATGAACCGGAGAAAAAGAAATGGGAGGAGAAAGAGACGAGACGAGCAGAAGAGGAGAAGAAGAAAAAAAAAAATTCACCAAAAAAGCAAGACAGCGAAAGAGGGGGAACGATAGGAAGAGCGACTGGAACTAAGCATGCAAGAAGACGAGGAGCAGCAGCAGCAGCACAAGCAAGCAGTAAGCGAATAGTTGGATGGGGAACAATGGCAAAGTGGATGGAAAATACGCAGTCCAAGAGGTGGAAAAAGGAAATAATGCAAGTAAAAAAAAAATAAATTAGAGAGAAATAAATAATAATTAAGAATAAACAAATATACCGAATTAATTAAATCATTACTGTAAGAATAAAATAAAATAAATAAAAACCGACAGAGAACAGACGACAGGCCGGAAAAAGCAAAACTGGAGAGAGACCGAGAGAGAAAGAGAGGATCGACCGAGGATCTCCATTACAAACCCTCAAAATGCCTCCCCCCCCCACGCGATAACGTGTCGAGGTGAGGGAGGAATTGAGTCAACAATCCAGAAAAAGAGGCATCCCAGGGCCCCATCAGAAAGCTCTGACATGACGAGCTAATCGAAGCGGATGGTCATGGCATGTCCCACGTCAAGGTCTCCGCAAGCTGGCATTGCTGGAGAAGAGGAGGCCAGAAGGAATGCCACGCCGATCATCCTTAGTTAATGCTCATCTCATCCTTCCATCCACTGGGTCTTCCTGCTGCAGGTCTTTTGGCTAGCAACTTTCATTGCGCTTCCCCGATCGATCGAGCCCAGCAGACTAGAGAGGAGTGCGGTGACAGGTTGAGACTCTACATTATGTGGAACGAAGCTGGGGGAAAAGGGAAAAAGCTGCTGGAGAACTGGAGCCGGTCTAGAGAGGCCGGTGGACTCCATCCCGTTAAGCATCCAAGCTAGTCCAGACGGACCTGTCAGAGCCAGTAAGCCGACCCACGGTACAAGACTCGATAGATCCTCTTTCCGATAGGCTGGGTCGATAGGAGTGGATGGATGGATAGATTGATTGATGGAGAGAGATTGATGGATGGATGGATGGATGGATGGAGAATGGCAAGGACCAGCTATCGTCCATCCTCTTACCGGCGCTCAGGATCCGATCGAGATGCGATCCCAACGGGCGACACAAGGACCCTCTGGACCCATGGATGATGGACTGATAGATAGTAGGAAGAGGAAGAATAGTCCGACAGACTAGACTTCTCGCTAGTAATGGGCTGTATTGACTTCGGCGCAATTATTCTCAGCCATCATCATTCCTCATCATCGTCGTTCTCTTCCTCTTACCCCCCACGGGTAGTAGTAGTTGTCGTTTTGAATTTCTTTTTCTTTTTTTCTTTTACTTCTACCATTTTCGTATTGCTCTTTTCTCTTCTTTTCTTCTCTGTTTTTTCTTCGGTTTTCTTTTATTCCGTATTTATTTGCTTTTTATTTTTCTTTCGCTGTTGTCAACTGTTGCTTTTGCCCTTTTCAGCTTTACTACCACCTGGCTGGGGCAGGATCATCCTTGTTCTGTGCATCTCCTCGGAGCCTCTGTCTTTCTCGTATTTAGGCACTCAAGTGATACTATCCGGCATCACTAGCAGCTCGACGGGAGGGGGGAAACAAAAGTCACAGACAGTCCGCATTCAGACTCCCCGGAGCAGGCCATACTCGGTCGAGTAATCAGTCACTCCCAATGAATTGGTGGGAAAGCAGAGGGGGTAAGGGGAAAGGAAAGGGAAGGGAAGGAAAAAAGAGAGTAGAAGCCCTCGTATGTAAGGTGGTTGAGCGATCATCACGCGGCCGCAGCTCCATTGGCTGCAGGCCCATCGCCAGGGGAAGAAATCCGGTTCAACAAAAGACGGGGCGAACCTTTTTCCCTCGCGGAGAGCCGGACTAAAAGTCACTAACGGGGGCTGTGTCAGTAAGGAGGGCCCCCGATAAGCCGTTCGTCGTGAAGTGACAGCCTGGGTCCATACCCACTTGGTCAATCTTCTCGCTTGGAATCTTCATTGTCTCTGTCGCTCTCTCCCGCTATTATCCACCCCGTTTAGGTTTCGCGTCTTCCAGCCCACACCCCCCTCCTCATCCATCCCCGGCGAGTGATCAGTGAAGACTCCGATCGAGAGGGTAGGGTAGGGTAGCGAACCCTTCACCCGCGTCCCGGACGATCCCTCAGGGAGGTCCGTTATGGATCTACACCCAAAGTCATCACACTGCAGCAATCTATCTGATATAGTCTAGTCGACTGACTGACCACAAGCAGACTGGTTGCAGAGAGAAAGATGTTAGCTTCCCCATTTCTCTTCATCTGCCTTTCTTTCCATGTTCGTTATCTTTCACTTACCCATTCCTCCGAAACACACGACAGACCTACCTAATTTTACACCCCCTCTCCCCCAAGCTAGATGCATGCCGGAACCTCAATACCTGTAGAGACCCAAGAGAGAAAGAGTAGCGTGTCCAGTAGTGTCATGGTCGGTCGATCGACTAGTTTAGTTTCCACGCCTTTCCTCCCCGTGAATCCCTTACTCCCTTCCTTTCCCCATCATCGTCCCCGTCTGCCTAAAAATATGACCTCCAGCGTCAGATCATACCCCGAGGGATCTCCTTCAATAGAGCAACGGTTGAGGTTCCAAGCCTCATGGGCTGTGCTCGCAGCGTCGTAACCACGGGGGGACTATGCTTTCACCCACCACCACACCCCCCATCCTGTGCTTCCGCCAGGGTCGTTGATCAGCCGTTGGTTTCGCCTTCTCCGACCGACATTGACAGGCAGCGAGGAGGGAATCTTCCGTCCTGCGTTGAATGTCGACCGGATGCCATCCCCTCACCACCCGCTGCAGTGTGCCGTCAAGTTTCTCTGCGACGTGCGTCGTCTCTCCTCCAATCATCGCATCCTGACCAATTGACAATTTGGGGGCCACGCGTGCAGCGTGCATACGATGTCAGTAGGTAGCACACAGGGCAATAGATGCGAAACTAGCTCATTCCTAGATTGACGGGGTTCGGCGACCATCGTAGTCCTGGATCTCGGCTGACGCCATCCATCCCTGGCCAAGCCCCAAGAGATACGCCAAACTAAAAAAAAGAAAAGAAAATTAAATCGGAACCCAAAACCTATCTGGACAAGAATAAGAAAAGAGATTGGGAGAACCTCTAAGCAGGTCAAAAAGGGATCCTGTAGGATAAACCGAACCACAGTAACATACATGCATACAATACAATATTCTTTCCCAAGAACGGTCAATGGTGCAATGTTCAATCCAATGGTGGGTATATAGGTGGATGCAGATCAACAAGATACAGAAATAAGACCTAAAAAGCAGAACAAGGAAAAAGAAGTAAAATCCATTCCCAAAAATCCGAGTGTGGTCATGGGAGTATTTCCTAGGATAGACGACCGTTCCAAGCGCATTCCATCCTCCACCCTTCACGATCTGCAACTGCTGCGCTAGGGTCATAAGCCCCGTGAGACGTTACGGCGTCGCCTCTCCCGATCGAGGATCAGGGCTGTTCTCGGTAGCCCCCCGGAACGTAAGGCATGGCCGGTGGCATCGAGCCTTGATACCCATAGCGGTGGTCCGTGGAAGGTGATACGTAAACTGGCCCCTGATGATCATAGGTGGGCTGCATGTCCGTGGGGGATAGGGAGAAGCTATACGGGTCCTGCAACACACTGAGGTTTGGACTGGGGACCCTCAGTCGAGGCCCAGCGTTGAAAGGGGGCGGATAGGTGACCGAATTCTGATGCACCGGCATGAGCCGCGTCTGATCCGCACTCCCCCCTGGCAGGCCCATTATGGGCGCATCATCGTACGCGTCAATTGACTCAGGCTCGGCGGAGATCCAACCACCAGGCATGGTTGGCAAGTGGGGGGAATATGACGGAGTGAAGGACATCATAGGCTCCTGGGCGTTCTCGTCATTATTGCTGGCGTATGGTGCCTGCGTGAGATCCATCGATACCACCGAGGGTCCGTCAACGCCATCCGAGTTTGGCATATAACGGCTGGCTTCATTTGGTGGGGTCCCTGGATTCAGTCCAGGAGCGGGCTCATCGCTAGGACCAGTAGTCTCGATCATTGGAAGATCCCTCTCATCTACAAGCGCCAAAACGGGCATAGCGATCTGTTCCATGTGCTTGGCCAAGTGCACCGTTAGCTTCTTCCAGGTGCTACAGACATTACCGCAAAAGCGGCACGGTTCGTCCTTGGGTCCCCTGGGCGTGTCATGTCGACACTTCTCTACAAGGTCCCAGAGGTGTTCAATCTCCCGCTCGCGATTGCTGTCTTCCTGCGAGTCCGGAGAGACAGATTCGCCTTTGGTCTTGGTCGACGCCCCCTGGTTTTTCGGTTTCTTGACTTTGGGCTCTGGCATCTTATGTTCCCTGACAAGATGTTGTACAAAGTTGTCCTTCCGGTAGCAAGTATGGTTGCAATCAGGAACTGTACACGTCCACCACTCTAGTTTTCTATGTCGCTCACTTTCGTGTCGGACCCAATCAGCCTTTCGCTTGAAGGACTTGGGGTCCGAGCACTGTGGGAAGGTACATGTAAATGGCTGCACATCTTCGTGGACATGCTTGGTCCAGTCTGAAGGTTTCTGAAACTTCTTGACTTGGAAGCATACCGGGCATTCGAACTCCGCTGGCAACCGTTTAACCGGCGGTAGGGGTACACCCGGGGGAAACTGTGCTGCAGTGACGGCGCTTTCTCCAAGCTTGTGAGGATCGTCCTCGACCGCTCCATGACCCGGGATATGAAACTGCGTGTGAGCAGCTTCGGGGCTAGCGCGAGGTGCCAGCAATTTTGCCTCGCCACCCAATGCGAAGCAGAACTTCCCTGATTTACATTTTTTCTGGCCAACAGCACGTGTATGGCTTTGCTTGCTCTCTACTAGCTTCCGGTACCGACGAAGCTGCTCGTGAGCAAAGCGTTCAATCAATGCGGGCGGAAGTCGGGGATTGATCTGCGTGATTTGGTTCTTAAAACCCTCGAGAGTCGGCACCGGCAAATGCGATGGGAGCGGGAACTGCATCACCAATCCCTTTTCGTCCACCATGTCGTCATCCTCATCATCTGCATTGGCTCCCGCGTGGTCCTCTCCTGGACTCTTCTGCGGGGCTTCGTGGTGGTTGCTTGCCCGTGGTGAGTAGGCAATGTTGGGGATCGGTGGTCCGCCATGACTGGTCATCAGGTCCATTAACCCGGGAGCTGAAGCTCTTGGTAGCTCACTTCGGCTTCTTCCCCGACCTTTCAGATATGTCCAGGGGCCTGTGGCTGGATTTGGCGACGCAGCCCGGAGGGAATCTTTGCCTCCAATAGCGGCCATCTGTCCGGCAATAGCGATCACGGCACTGCTTGTGTTAAGGCTTGGAGACCTGGATCGACTGAGGTTCAACCGGTGAGGGAAGCTGTCCTTTCTCAACGGGGGACTCTTGACATCTTCAGCTTTGCTCGCGCCCTCCGTGCTGGGGGGAATGATTGAGAGATCCGATAGGCGCCGTTTCAAGTTGCTGGAGGGTTTTCTGTGTAGGAATTTTCGGAGGCTACTTCGTCTTTCATGTTTCTTGTCATTTAGTGACATATTTTCGAAGGAGCCACCTGGGCCGATAATACTGTTGACTTCTGCATCGTTCAAATGCCGGGTGCCCCAAGTCGCCGAGCGCGAGGCGGTGTCAATGTCCTTGGCTCGTCGTTGATATTCTACCATGGCAGCACTCGAGCTTGCAGGCTGCATCCGCGTCTCCTGGGGAAATGCGTCGTGCTCAGGATCCCGCCATGGAGGAGCCCCGAGGAACTGATGTGGGGACGGTTCTCCATCTTCGGGTCTCTGTTGCTCTTCCTCAGGGGCAACTTCTGCATCCTCGTGTGCCCACCTCGCTTCATTGACACTGACAGCTGGTGAGTCTGATCGGCTTTCTGCACTGTCCGATCCGCCTTCACTGATGCCATCATCGCTACTTTCATGGAGCAAGAGCCCAGGCCCCGGTACGGCGGGTTCCAAAAGTCGAGATTTTAGGGAGAAGTAATCCGGCTGAAGCGATGGGTCCCCGGCACTTTTGGCTCTGCGTCTGCCTCCCAGGTGGCTACGATTCCCACCAAGCAAGGAAGTGTCCTCGTCTCCTGCCTCACTATTCGCAGCGCTTACAGATGCTGACCATGACTGGATGTCGGCATTCTTCTCCTCTAGTCGTCGTCGATTTTCCATCTCGTTCGGACTTGGGACGAAAATGTCGTCTCGTGACGATGGCTCAACGCCGCCTTGCCCGGTAGTCATGTTGGGCAACCAGGAACCGTCGTTCGCTCGTGCAACTGTATAGCGTTGCCCGATTGCCCCGTAGCTTTCTTCGACGCCCTCATTTTCTGAATCACTGGTCATATCGTTCGGTGAAAGATGGTTGGAAGTCAGGCTCCGGCGTCGCCCGGCTGAAGAAGCATCTCTGACCGGTGAGTCCCCGCGGGAGTAGCTTTCGATCTTGACAATAGGACTCCTTGCTCTGGCCGAATCCGGAAATGCATGAACACTGAGGTTATCGCTCTGGGGACTTGTGATCAATGACAGTGCTTGGGGTTGCCGCGCCATAATGTCGCGCTCAGTCTGAGACTTGATGTGATCCGTATCTGGCAGTAGACTAGATTCCCTGACCGGAGTCCAACCAGCTTGCTGTGGCGACAGCATGGACGTTGACGAGGGCAGCATGTCAGTAGCCGAGGTGTCAATATTCGGTAGGGGCAGCGCCATGTTGTTGTCATGTTGCAGTGCATTGTTCCCAAAATCCACGTCCATGCCAAAACCTGCGGATAATATATCGGCGCTGGGGGACGTGTGCGCACTCATATCGCTCGAAAAGTCATCGGTTGGGCTGAGAAACTCTGAGTAAGAAGCCGCTTGACCGTTGGCATGTCCATTGGCTAAGTCATCGTGTGTTTGTATATTCAAGGGAGACGATGGATTTCCTGTGCTATGGTCTTCACCAGGAACAGGCGTTAATCTGATAGCGGAGGACTTGAAGGAAGCTTCATCGGGGTCCAAGGGGGCCGAGAGGTAAGGGTCGTGGTAGTTGGAATCGTAGAAAGTCATATCGGTGGGCGACTCGTCCTGGATGAGCCTCGGTGATAAGGTGGACATGCTTGCAGTGGGCCTTTGGGTCGTATCGACCGTGCGATTTGCGCGGTAAGAATTATGCGGTGAATGCCAGCGATCACCTCTTCAGTAAGAAGAAGTCTCGGTGATCCAAGAAAACAGCTGGGATTCTGCTGTTCTGCAGGCTTGGTTTCAGTCTGTCTCGGTGAAGCAGACTACACACAAAGACCAGTGAACGGGAATCCGAGATAGCATTTCTAGATCGACATGGAGGAGAACAGGGCGCCTCGGCGTTCGTAAGCAGCGAAAACGGCGTAGAAGCAATGAAGAATATTCAGGAATGCCCCTTAAATCAGTATGTGGCGGGCGCAACGTGAAGTGGGTAAGCCACCGTCGCAGTAAGCCGGGAGGAGCGAGTTAGTAGAGTGAAGAACAAATGAGGCCAAGACCCGAGCTTGGAGTACTACTAGTAGTACTTAGTCACGAGCGAGGGGAAAACAAGTGACTGAAGATTGCAGAAGAGAGTTCAGCTAAGCGGGACGGAATCCTGAGTGGAGCGACATGCAGTGGAAGTAGTACGGGGAAGGGGAAGGAGAAAGGAAAACGATGGATTCAGGATGTTGGTTAGTTGTTGGTGGTCCAAGTTGAGGTGGTGAAGAGAAGTAGTAGTAGTAGTAGTAGTAGTAGTAGAGAGAGAGAGAGAGAGGTAAGCGTGGGGGTGGAGGGAATAATAGAGAGGATAGCGATAGTAGTAGGATAGATTACGGGTATTAAATGTATTTCGATAAGTAGAGCCGCAGTCACGGGGAACGAGGGTGAGAGAGAGAGGAACGAGCGAAATATTGGGTGGAAAAGGGAGAAAGTAAAAGAAAAACAAGAAAGCCCAGGAAACGAGGCTCTGGTCTTGAGAAGCCTGGCCTGAGAAGATGACGCGAAGGAAATGCCAGAAATTAAGAGGGTGAGTGAGTGGGTGAGAAGAGAGGAAGAGAAGAGAAAAAGAGAGAGAGAGAGAGAGAGAGAAAACGAGGGAAAGCGCAAAGGCGCCTTGCGGCTGTGACTGAACAGGGAATCCACATTCACCACTCGAAGAGAACTGAGCCACATCGGAAGGGGGGTGGGTGAAGCTTACTGTGTAATACTACTACTTCTAGTAGTAGTATTCCATAGTATTAGGGGGGGCCAGTCAGGCCAAGCTACTAAATTTCCAAACCATCATCTTCAATTGTCACAACCGGATGAAGGCCTCAATCTGGCTGGTGAGAATGGCGACGATACGCGCCGGCGTGCAGCATTGCGAGCCACTCACAGCCAAGCGGGGTACCAACTAGTAGCTAAACTAAAACTAACAGGTTCAGGTACGAATCAGTCATAGTTAGTTAGTGTTGGTGGGGTGGTGGTGGGAATTGCAGTTATGTTATGCCCATCTCCTGAATATTCACAGTGCTTGCTCTCTCTTCATATCTTAAGAAATAATTTACTATCCCAGCACTGACCTCTTCCCAATCATCCTACGAAAATGTCATATTAATAACGGAGATAATAATAATTGGTTAGTAGAAGAATAGATGAACAAAATAAAATAAAAATAATCCGAAGTCTGCACGCTTGCTGATCCCTTCCTCTCCGACTATCTATCAACCAACCCTATGAACATCAGAAAAGAAACCCACATGCTACAAATGATCAGTGGATCACAAACACACAACCCAACCCGATGAACACCCCATCCCCATCCCTACAAGGACACCAATCTCAAACCATGGATCCATCCTATCCTATCCGTCCATATTCCCCGTCATGACAAAAAAATTTTAAAGCAGCTCGGAAATTCGCAGGGCTCGTGCCGTCCCCACCAAGTCCCCACTTGACCTTGATTATCGCAATCTACTAAAGTACTCAGTACTCGTCTCTTGTCACCAAGGGAAGGAGAATAATAACTGGTAGAAGTGTGAGTGTTTCTATTCTTGCCATATACCTACCTACTACTTTACTATCTACTGCATGCTTACTAGAGTAGTATACACCACAATCTCAGCCCAATAGTATTGAAGCAGTATGATGCTGCGGTAAATACTAAGTACTAACTGATGGTAATATCGGCAGTTGCTATTTATAACCCCCACTCCCGTGCTGAAACGGTAGTAGCTAAAACTCAGCCACGACACAAGCCACCTTCTGAACCCCAATCCACTCCATCTATCTATCTACTTTGTAAACTCATCTACTACGGTGTAGAGTCTTAGTACTCAAGTAGCACAAGTTTAACGGAAACTATTTCTTGGCAATAATGAGATGTTTTTTTTTCCCCGACTGGATCAGCCCTGTCTGAGGCTGCGCAAGTTGGAGTCAGAACCGGTGGAACATCTTGGCAGTTGTAGTTTGAATCCATTGCATGTAAGTAGTGGGCATTATGAGCGGTGAATAAAAGTGGACTATATGTGTAAACAGTACTAAGTACTGTGAAAGCCTTAGTCAAATCATGGAGGTAATTGGAATGGATTTGTCACACCGTCAGGCTGCTCTCTGTCTAGATTTTCGCGAAGAGTAGTATCCTGGTGTAACCGGCTTCTCTCCCCGGATGTGGGACACAGGAGGCTCAAAGGGCGCGCACCAACCAAGCTTTGGCGCAGAGAGACTGTATGTTACGAATGTGTGGCAATGGCTGATCTTGACATCATGTGCGTGGCTGTGCAATTGCGCCCGGGTAACTGACTAACTACAGTACTTACCATGTAGTTATCTATCTAGTTAAACTAACCAACCAGACTGGTTGGTCTATGGTCTTACAGGGTACTTGTTGATCGGGTGAAGTCAATCGTCGGTTGGAAGAATTGCAAACAATCTGATTTTATTTATCATATGATTGATTCTGTCATTTCTCATCATGTCTTCATTGTAGATCATTCCCCAATCTCCTGCGCATCTTCTCATCACTCGTCCATCATATCCACTAAGTACATGCTGTGTAGGTGCTGTGAGGGCTTCCAGGTCCTGGTCATAGATAAATATATAGTAGTAGTTTCACATACAGTATTTGTTTGTTACACATGAAATAAACAATCGCTCGCTAAAACACGCAAAGACGCAATCGTAACATAAGCAAAAGAGGCATAACCCCGAAATGACATGATAGTGTCGAAAGGAAGTATAAAAATCGTGTCAGAAAAAATACATTGGTTGGAGAAAGGAATGGGTGTTGGGGCCCTCTCATCAAAAAATCGTCTCGGTCATGATCAGGAAAACATTGGAAGACATAGGAAACCCAAAGGATTGTTGTGGCCCCGCAGCCCCGCGAAGGGCCGGGCCGGCAAGATAAGACAAAATGGGGAAAGATCAAAAGTATATGAAACAAGCCGGTTATTAAAACAGTATCCTGGTCGACATAGCCACTCACATCGCATTACTCGAAGCTTTCGTTCATGCCCTCATGCCGTCCCGACTCCGGCGGGGAGAGGGCGACCCATCTGAGCGGCTCGAGTCTCTTGAACCACGACGAGGCGAGTCTTCTGACTTCTTAGCCAACTCTTGGAGACGGGCCATGACCACAGGGGAGTCGGAGTACAGAACACAGCCACGGGAGTATGTGCAGGGGTTGTACTTTTCTTCCTCTATCGCGAAATCCTCGTGCGCTGCCTCGCGCGTGATCCGGGGGAAGGTGCGCAGGATAACATGACGAGTGGGGTCTTCCTTGGAGCTAAGGCTGCCCTCCTTGGGGGTGCCATACTCTTCCCAGTCATCATTGGAAACGGCATCGGCATCGGGCGACGGCAACGAGGCCAGGATCAGCTCTCGCTCCACGCGCGCAAGTCGCCAGGTCTCAGCTGCAAGCTTGACAATCTTGCGGACTGAGATGAGAAGAGCATCCAGGTTCTTCGGGTCGGCAAAGTGCTTGAGCTGGTCGATGATCTCGTCAACAATGACGGCCGCCACAACGTTGATCGATTGCTTGGCGTCCGAGGTCGTGTACGCTGCCTTCAGTGTCTGCTGTCTCCAGAACGCCTCCCGTCTCACGGACTTGCGGCGGATATCCATCGACAGCATCTGGAAGAAGGTATCGGCCTTATCGAACCGGCGGCCCAAGGTGAACAGGAAGGGATGGAAGATGCGGTAGGTCAAGGTCTTAGAAATGACATGCTGGACATATGCTGAACGAAGCTCGACGGATGCCGGGGTGTTATCAAGGAACGATGGTAGTTCCGATGGAAGTTTGGATAGAATGTCCTTGGGAGGATCAATTGGAAGGTACGAGAAGTGCTCCTTGGACAAGGAGACAATAAGCCGAGATAGTTGGCCGAAACAATCCAAACTAGATTTCGGAGATGTTTATCAGAGCACGTACATTTATAGCGTTATCAACATGTCATCATAGTCATCATCATGATCAGTCTATAGAAAAAGACAGGAGAACAGGAGAAAAGACAAAGGAAATGAAACAAACAAAAGACTGTGGTCTGGTTCTGGTTCTGGTTCATGTTCATGCAGAAAAGAAGAAAAATGCAAACATGACATCGAAATTAAATGCAAAGATAATGCAGAAGAAAGAAAAAGAAAAGAAAAAGAAAAGAACATCAGAAGATGAGAGATCATAAACGAAAGTCGGGTACTAAAACACATTCTCAATGCACTGGGTCACTTACAAGAATGTATCACCCTTCGTGCTCTTGAGGTCAGTAGCTTCTCCAAGGCTGTGAAGAGTCTTTCTCAACCTGTCGCAATCTTTGTCCAAATTATCAATGGTAAGGCGCATTCCATCCACCGCATGCTGAACCTGTTTCTCCTTGACAAGGTTATCCTCCTCCAATTTCTTGTTCTCCCGCTCGCAGAATTCCAAGGCCTGGATCTTGTCCGAGAGCCGTCCCTCCAAGTCGGTCTTCTCATCAGCCCACTTCTGCTGCTGGTCGCTGTGCTCCTTCTCCATCTCCGCCACCTTATCTGCGTGGCTGTTGTTGAGGGACTCGACTTCGTTAGCGTGGGTCTGACGAAGGTCCTCCATCTCCTTGGCGTTGGTCTCAATGGTATCCTCCAGTTCCTTCTGCTTGTCTGCGAGTTCGGTAGTTCTGGTTTCAAGTTCTTCCTTTGTCGAGCCCAGCTCGGCAACCTTGGAGTCAAAATCGGCTTGCAGTGTGTCGTGCGCTTCCTGCATCTGTTGCTTCTGGTTCTCGTAATCGTTCTTCATCGCGTCCTGCTGGTCGAGCAACTCGCGCTCGCGTGCCGCGAGAGCCTCAGCTGCTGCCTTCTCGTCTTCTGCCTTGATCTCCTCGAACATCTCCGTCAGCTCCTTCTTCTGAGTGGCAAGAGATGACTCCTTGTCTTGTCTGGCAGCCTCCATATCCCTCTCGTAGGTCTCATGTGCCTCTTGAAGGTTGGTGTTGAGAGTCTTGACCTCCTCCTCCAGCTCGGCCTTCGTCTGCGTTAGCTCCTCATTGGCCTTCTCCGAATCATGTAGCCTCTCCTGAAGGTCCTTCTTCTTCTCATTCTCGTTGCCCAGCTCCATGCGAAGCTCATTGATGGTATTCTTCAGTCTCGTTGATTCCTCCGCACTTTCACTGGCCGCCTTCCGCATCTGATTCTGCAGGGCATCGATGTAGAAGTCTTTGTGCATCAATTCCTGCTCATGTTGGTTCTTCATCTGCTTGAACTCGGACTCCCGCGCCTGCAACTTGCCCTTGGTGGTCTTGTAGCTATTGAGCAGCCGGCCGATGTCGGGAATGGCATCCTGGATCCTCTGGAGAAGCTCAATAGGCTCTTCATGTTCGTGCGGAGGCGAGATGGTACCTCCTTTGCCATTCAGAGGATGGCCATTGCCGAATCCCAGGTTCTGCAAAGCCTGGAAGGATGCAGCCGACCCGGGGTCTATTGAGCCTCGAGGGGTCGGGTGCATGTTAGGGGAAGGCTGGTAATAGGCATACTGGGGGAGGAAGCCATTGGCGCTCATGATAGGCGAGTGATAGGAGGGGGGGTAGGGCGGTATGGCGGTTGGCTGTTGATGCATCCTCGCCGTCATTGGCGGAGGAGCCATTTGTGGAGACATCATGGGAGACATGTGCCCACGTGCTAGAGGACTGCTGACTTTCGGAACAGGTGAAGCGGGTTTCGCGACAGGCGAGACGTGTTTCTGTACAGGTGACACGGTCTTTTGCACAGGTGATGCAACCTTCTGCACTGGAGAATATTGTTGCACGGCGGGTGAAGCTGATTGAAATACGGGAGAAGCGCCTGGCGGTGTGGGAGAGGCACTCCTTTGCGACAGAACCGTTGCTTCCCGTATTGGCGAGGCGGGTTGGGCCATCGGTGAGGTATACTGCTGCACCGGAGAATGGTAAGGTCGAACTGGCGACGCAGATTGGTGCACCGGTGAAGTGGCACGTGGTGTAGCAGCAGCGCTCTGAGGACCAGGCGACATAGACTTGAAAGATGGGGATGCAGTGCGTTGGATTGGTGAACCGCTTTGGGGAATCGGAGAACCAGGCTTCGAAGCGGGAGTAGCGCTCGAGGGGGCGAACGTATCAGAGAAAGGAGTAGGCTGAGCGACTACAGTGTCGGCGAAAGGCTCAGACATTTCAGGAATATGCGAGTAAGTCTCTGGAGCTCCGGTGTTGGAGCCAAAGGATGCTGCCACGAATGAGCTGTCCGCCTGGGGCTGTGGTTCTTCCAAGGGCTCCCACGACTGGGTCGGGACGAATGAAGAATCCAGCGGTGTCTGCGGTGCTGTTACTGGTGTCTCCTCGACTGTTTCAGCGGCACCGCTAGCTTCAAATTGGAAAGGGTCGGTCTCGTGGTGCTCCTCAGCGTCACCCGCGTGTTGTTCCGATGTGCCTATTTCCTCCCAGCTCGACTCTTGTGGCTGTTCAGAATAGGTCTGCACATCGTTCACGTCGGATTGCTCAACTTGGGCGGGCTCAGGAACTTCCGGTTGCTCGAACCCACCCTCCTCGTTCGCCGGCGACTGGACTGGTGCCTCGTCTACGGGCACAGTCGAGTCTGGCTCGACGGAAGCCTGTGGTTGCTCCAGTTCTGGTTCTTGGTTTGGCACCGACTCTGGCTCTTGTGCCGGTTCTGGTACGGTTTCAGATACGGGCTCTGTTTCTGCCGGCTGTGATTCGATCGGCGCCTCAGCTGCAGGTTCAGCTACAGCTTCAGTTTCGATTTGAGCTTCAGCTTCAGTGGGCGGTTGTTCGTGTTGCTGCTCGTCAGGTTGTATGTCTTGCTGTTCTTGCAGACCCTCTGGTTGCTCTTCTGCTTGTTCCGATGTGGGCTCAGGCTGAGCTGTCGGTGGCTCCTGAACTTGCTCTTCTACTTGCTGGGGCTCTGGTACCGGCTCTTCAGTGGAGACCTCTGGCTGTGATTGCTCTTGCTGCGGGTCTTGCTGGTTCTCCTGTTGGACCTCTTGTTGGCTCTCAGGCTGGACCGCTGGCTCCTCAGTGGAGAGCTCAGGTTGAGGTGCCTCTGGTGGTGGTTGTTGTTCCTCTGGCTCTGCTTGTTGTTCTGGCTCAGGGGTAGATAGCTCAGGCTGAGGTGTTTCTTGTTGTTCTAGTTGCTGTTGTTGTTCCTCTTGTTGTTCTTCTTGTTGTTGTTCAACAACAGGAGAATCGGGCTGAGGTGTCTGATTACCAGAGGCCTCTTGGTTCTTGCCCTTCTTATTCTTTTGTTTGCTAGCGGACTTCTTGTTCTTTGCCATGGTGGGCGATAGTGATGCGTGCCCAAGTTAGAATAAGGCTGTAAGACGTGTTCCCAATAGCTAAAGAAGTAACACGGTCAGCGGAGACTAGATTGGGTGGCTGCGGGTTTAACACTGTACATTTGTAAGCGCGTTCGGCGGCGTCGTGATATATTCCGAGTTGATATAGATACAGAGCGAAACGCAGGGGCCCGACAAGGTAGGTGATCACACGGTCAGGCAGGAAAGAAAGTAAGAAAAAAAATTTTAGGGGGTAAGGAGAAAAGAGAGGGAGAAAAAAATAATTAGGAGAATAGGGAAAATTGGAAAATAATGCTCAGGCCCGTTGAGCAGAATGTATGCAGGTGGGCGCAAATGGTAGGAATACACGGAAGACAAATCACCGGATGTCGAATGGCAAGTTTGCCAGTGGACAGACACTCCGGAAAGCCAGGATAGTTTTCCACACGCTGGCTCTTAAAATAGTTGAATTCTGAGGAATGGGATTCGAGAGAAGAGACGACGTTGGGGAAAAAGAGGGCAGCTAATAACCGGTTCCCAGTCACGCCCAAACAAGAAAAAAACTGCATCTACAAAGGGCTCCGGCCAGCCTCAGGGGGGCTGGGCGAGGCGCGACGGCGGACCGAACCTTAGAGGGCAATTGATACCCATTCTACCAGGGAGTCATAGACCGTAGGAGTCCGACTAGGCGAGAGAAGGCAAGAGTACACACTTGGGTGCAAGAAGGGAGTCATCGGAGTGGACCGAGGCGTTTGAGTCGGGACTCGAAGCGGATCCAATCAGCAGGCGGTGTCACCAGCATTGGGCATCAACGACTCGATCATTTGGGGGTGGCAGGGTGAATCAGAAGACGAGCAGCGGAGCAAGCGTCCTAGAGCATGCTATTTCGAGAGTCCAAGAGTCCGAGCTCTCTCACACTTTCAAACACCGCCGAGGGGAAAGAAAGAGAGCGAGATGAGGGGGGGCAAGTCGAGTGGGCGGGGAGTGGACAACGCTAACCAACGATCGATGACATGTCGCTGTTGATATCCAGACGTTTAGGAGCCCACATGAATTGGCAGAACCTGAAACCCAATTGCTGCCGCGCTAATCGCAAGCAGTGGGGAGCGCCATGTTGAAGTGAGGCAGTTAGCCATGCATCGGGACCACCCAGGGTGTGCGGTGTAGGAACACCATGACTGACGAGCCAACACAGCGACCCGCTCACACTTCACTGGATGGAACTGCCCCAACCCCCGTTCAGGGCGAAAAGGAGGATTGATTCCATGATCCCTCCAGGATGTTGCTGCAGGTAAGGCGAAGATCGGGAGGGTCTGACGGTCATCATATCATATTTGACCGACATGCAGGAGAATTTAGGCCGACAGATGAGGGGAGTGGAAGAAAGGATGTGTTTGCACCGTAAGATGTCCGGGGCTGCAGGAAGAAGAGTAACTAACAGGAAAGATTTACTTGCTCACTGACCAATCCACATGACAGTTGACAGACCGACTTAGTCATGGCATGGCAGCCTTACTGTTGTCCTAACTAAGCTAACCAGTTTTGGATCCTCTATGCTCTGTTACACTAGTCCCAATATGGCACAAGTCACATGACTAACCATCACTGGAACTGGACCAATCAGCCCAAACCCAATCCAGCTTTCCAATCACGTGCACTCCGCCTCGAACCGCCTTTCTGCGCTTTCAACCTCCCAAAACCCCCCCCCGGCGACGACGACATCATAACTCGATCCGCCGCTGCCAATTGTCTACCTCCACACCATGTTCTTCGCTAGGCGATCGGTGGCTTCGGCGCGGCTCCTTCTGCGGAACCAGCAGCCCCGGCGATTCGACTCGCACGCAGCTCACCATGCCGAGCCTGTGAACGAGAGCTTCGGCGTACGTTCTCTCCCCTCCTCCAATGGGAACGGCAAACGAACCCTCCCTACTACCCTCGCCCGACTTTCACATCCCATTATACCCATTGTGGCATTGGTTCCTGCATGAACGAATAAGCAAGGCTCTCAAAAAGCTAACATCCTGATCTTACGCACCCATACAGCGCAGTTTCTACGTCACCTTCGGCACCTTCGCGTCCGCCTTCGTTCTGTACCAGGTGGCCAAGTCGAACGATAACTCCTCCCCGTCATGGATCACCAACCTCATCCACAAGTGGACTCCGGACGAGAAGATCTTTGAGCAGAGAAACGCTATCCACACGGCCGCCATGGAGAAGGTCGCTCATGACCGTCACTTGTTCGCGAGTCAGGGTCCTCGCGAATTCATTGAATTGAAGCAGCCTGAGTACGTCAACACATCCATTCCTTCTCCCAATTATACCTCAATATGCGGAGTACTAACCGGGGATCTTTTTTGTTTTCTCTGTAGGGTCAGCTTCAGCGCCGTCGCTCCTTACAATGTCGCCCCCGGCCAGAGCGCCGATCTGAGCCATGTTGTCGCTCACTACCAGCGTCAGAACCAGGAGATGGAGGCCTCCCGTGTGGCCCGGATGCAGGACGGCAAGGTCGTGTCTCTTTATGAGTAGGCGAGCATATTGAACTAAGGAAAATGTGATTCTGTTGTTGTTGTTGTTTTTCTGTGTTTTGAATATGTCGGTAATAGACATAGGAAGCAGGGCTTGTTGTACATATACCGGGCAGTGTTCAAGATTTTTTTTCTTTATTCTTATTTTCCGTTATTTATTGTCCGCAGATGCGGTTGTTGTCAGCATGGGTTTACTTACAGAGATGATCAGCTGTAATCGCAAGCCATAGTTACATATATACATACACTACTTACCCTGTAAGTCCCTGTCGATCAGATTGGCCCCATAACTGATACTACTAATGCCCAATATAACAGCAGAGCCAATAACATCACACCTTTATCTAAGCGAACGCTAATCACCAGACATTTAAGACTACTTCACCACATACAACTACTTACTTCATCCTACCAGGCAGCATCCATTATCTATAAGCCATATTTATATACTAACCACGACCCTAACTAAACAGTAAAACTACTATCAACTAACTAAGCACACCTAACCCCCAAAACCACCCTCCCGACCCCCTCAGACTTAACATCCAACCTCTCCTGCACATCGACCTCGACCCCCAGAGTCCCAGCAACACCACCCAAAACCGCCAAAAATTCATCGACACCCCCACCAACCCCAAAATAGACCTTCTTGGCCGCGACCAACGCCGCCGCGCTCTGCTGCTGTCCTCCCGGCGCAGCACGACGCAACAAGGCGACCAACGTCTCGGAGAATGCCCCCAGCGACGCAGGCGAGTAGATAGTCTCGGAGGCGAGGACGAGTGTTTGGGAGTAAAGTACTTCCTGGGTGGAAGAAGTGGTGGAGGAGAAAACCAAGTCGACGAAAGCGGGCGACCAGGCACCCGAGATGAAGGAGATGGAGATGCCGCGGGCAGAGAGGTCTTCTTGGAAGGATTGGATGAGGGTGGGGGTTATGTCGAGGAGTTCGTCTTCTTCTGACTGTCCTTCGGACGGGGAGGGAGAGGGAGAAGATTGTGTGTAGTGATACCATGTTAAGAGGAGGTTAGGGAAAGTAACGAGACGGAGAACGGCAGAGTTGTAGTCTGCGAATGTGAAGTGGGTTCTCTGTCCTGATGCTGGGTGAGAGAGGAGTTGGGCGAAGAGAGATAGTGATGGGATGGCGGTGCCGGCGCCGAGCTGGGGATTCTTGTTAGTATCCCATGTACTGGGTATTATCTAGGGTAGGTAGGTACATACCTCAATGATATGTCTATCACCAGTAGCCGTCGACGCAGCCAGCTCGTCGGTGTCAACAAGCACCTTGGCTAAATCGATGGCACACTCCCAGGTCTTGAACCCGCCTTCGTAGAAATTGGGCTTGATGTCGCCTTTCTCCAGACCGGCGATTAGTTCCTCGTTGTTCTCGTCGGGAGTATCCTCAGCCATGAGTTGGGCGCGGATGTCGAAGATGTCCCGACGAGCGAGGGTGAGGTGCTGGTTTGCAGCAGTAGTTTTGGTGGGCAGTCTGAGCTTGTTGAATGAGATTTGAGATGGGAGTGTAGGGATCTGTGGAGTGTTAGTTGTTGATACTGATGTAACGTAGAGTAGAGTAGGGTAGATGAGTGATGTATCTTAATGATACTGGAAAAGTGCCTTGTATCGGAATTACTCACCCACTCAGCCACATCATGTTTCTTAGCTGGAATCAGCTCCGGGAGTGTAGAACCCGCACCAGCATTCTGGTCATTGTTCGTCTCGTGAGTCTCGTTCATTTCCGTATCATCGATGTCGATATCGTCCCCCGCAAAGCCGAAGCTGAATGTGGATGTCATAATGTATTGGAGTTTTTGTGAATAGTCTCAGCTATCCACGACCAGAGCAGACAGAGTTATCTATAAAGGGAACTTTTATATGCCGCTTGCACAGCCGAATCCGATGTCAGAGAAGTAGAAGATGGATATCCAGCAGTGAGGTGGGGTATCCTATGATCTACTTCAATGAAGGATTGAATGACCCGAGCGCGATTTTGTTTTGAGAACAAGTTCAGGATAATCAATCTCGGAGTTGACTCTGTCTTCTATCTCCTGTCTAGACCGAGTCCGATGTATATTAAACTGTCAATGCCTGGCTCTTTTCTCTTGTCGCTTCATTCGTCCAAATTTTGCATTTTCGTTATCGGGATGACTAAGCAAGGTGATTGGGTGCTGAAACCGGTCCTATACATTGCGTATAGATTTGGTCTTGATATGGAAATTATCTCTTTGTTATGATTTTCATTGATACTACTTTATATTAGAAAGAAAATTCGTAGATCTACTTGTATATTACTTGGCTTCAGAAGGTATGAATCTGGTGTCATGACCGGGCCTGCAAAACTGCCACGCAAGACCCTCTATCGTCTCACATTTATATATATCGTAGAAACGCTCTATGTATCGTCCCAAACACGCAGATAACGAAACGAACAAAAGGAAACACCTCAAATCCTCTAAGCAGATCCGTTCTCGACCTTGGTCGCAGCCACAGCCTTCTCAAGAGCCTGAAGAGCATCGGCCAAGAGGTCCTCGGAATCCTCAACACCGCAGGACATACGGACAAGGTCATCGAAGACACCAGCAGCCTCGCGCTGGTCCTTGGGGATACCAGCGTGGGTCATGCTGGAAGGAACCTCGCAAAGAGACTCGACACCACCCAGACTCTCGGCCAGAGTGAAGATCTTGGTGTACTTGCAGAAGAGGTGAGCGGCTTCCTGGCCGCCCTTGATACGGAAGCTCAGCATACCACCGCCCATGCCGTTGCGGTGCTGCTTGACGGCAATGGCACGGTTGGGGTGAGAGTCAATGCCGGGGTAGTTGACGGCGATGACGTTGGGAGAAGCCTCGAGGGCCTTGGCGACTGCGGTGGCGTTGGTGGTGGCCTCGCGCGCACGCAGGTGGAGGGTCTTGAGACCACGGTGGGCGAGCCAGCAGTCGAAGGGGGAGGGGACGGCGCCGATAGCGTTCTGGAGGAAAGAGAGGCGCTCCTGCAGGCTATCGGAGTTGAAGGCAGCGACACCCATCAGGACATCCTGAGATTATTCATGTTAGCAAGATGCCCGTTGCTATAGAAGGAGGGTGTAAGAGTTGAGCTTACAGAGTGACCGTTGATGTACTTGGTGACGGAGTGGACGACGATGTCGGCACCGTGGTCCAGAGGGTTCTGAACATAGGGGCTCAGGAAGGTGTTGTCGACGACAACCAGGATACCGTACTTGTGGGCGACGGCAGCGATCTTCTCGATATCGACCAGGCCGAGGGTGGGGTTGGAGGGGGTTTCGATCCAGACCAGCTTGGTCTCGTTGGGGCGGATGAGCTCCTCGACGTCGAGCTCAATGCAAGGCGAGAAAGTCACCTGGACGCCATGGGCGGAGGCTACCTTGGTGAAGTAACGGTGAGTTCCACCGTAGACATCGGAGACGGAGACGATGTGAGAGCCCGCGGCGAGAGACTGGAGGATGACGGCGGTGGTGGCAGAGCCAGAGGAGAAGGCAAGGGCATATTTAGCGTGTTCAAGAGCAGCAATGGCCTGCTCGAAGTTGTCACTAAATTCCAGCAGTCAATATCCATGCAATCAATGTATCTCAGCTATGGCGATTCCGTTCCGACTAACCGGTTGGGGTTGGAGCTGCGGGTGTATTCGTAGAGACCAACGGGGTTTCCGACGCTGGTCTGCGCAAAGGTGGTGGAAAGGGAGATCTATGGGCCAGCTGATTAGCGCGTGCACCGTAGAAGTGAAGGCAGTGTTCGGAGAAGAATGCGAACTGACAGGAGCAATGACAGCGCCGGTGGTAGGATCATGGGGAGCACCAGCGTGGACGGCCAAAGTTCCGAAGCGGCGATCCTGAGGGGTCGACGCTCCGTTCTGAGTGGGGAGAGCAACCATTGTCACGAATGAAAATATATACGAAATGGGGAATAATAGAAGTCAAAAAAAAAAAAAGCAAAAGTGAGTAAATCAGAACAATAAGTCGCTGATAGTCTAAAATGCGCGAGTACTGGGTCTTGTAGAGCAGTTGAATGCTTAAAGACAAGAGGTGGATGATGAAATCACAGGGCCCCTGCAAGACGCAAATGCGGTCTAATATAAGCAAGTCAACCCTTCAAGGTTTCTAGGGTTGCGATTTGTAATGGGCCAAGGAAACGAGAGAGAAAAATAGATCGGTGAGACGCAGAATCCCAGGAATGAAAACGAGACGAGCCGCGCACAGAGAGAGGGGGCAAGTTTGCTTGAAAATTTCTGGCTGATGCCGGGTTTCTTTTACGTTGCGCAGACTGGATGCTGGAGAACTATAGGACGAAGTGGTCGAGAGGGACCCGCGCCGAGTTCCAGAATCTTTCTTCCCTTTCTTTTTTCCTTCTTCTCCACCCCGCCAGTTTATCGCCGCCTTTAACCGTCGCATCGCCGACGCCCTTCCGTGCTGACAGCCGCCTAGTTTAGTTCCACTTCTATTAGTTGAAGGTGTGTCTGCTTTGGCATTGTAAGGTGTCATTTGCATCCCTATCTCTATCTACGTACGCCCTGTTTTATCTAGAGTCTGCAACGGTGTCCCCCCATTCGGCATGATTGCACGGTCGCTTGGTGCTGCAAGGGGAAGTAATGATCCATGGTTCCTTGGGATGGGCTCATACCATCCCTTCATTTCGACATCAAGAATCACTATTGCGCCAACCTGAACAATTAATAAAGCTAAGATCATGTCATTATTCGTCTATCGATGGTATTATCGATCTTCTCCCCTCTGCAACATCCATCCCAACGTGGTATATCCAATTCCTCCCATTTACTTTTTCCTTTTCTTTTGAACCCACTGTATGTAAGTAGTAGTAGTAGTGTACAATGCAATCCCATCCACGGGAAGCTCTCGTATTCTTCCTCTCCAAAACAAAGCAAATCATCAATCACCACCATGAAATCGGACCCAATCCAGCCATTTGCATGGATCCCTATATCATAAAGATATTAGATTGTCTTCAACACAGATAATATACCTGGAGTAAGGATAGTCACTCACTATAATCGAATATGGGGGTTTCCGCTCGATGGCGGCGGCATCTCCTAGATCCGGCGCATTCGGGATCTGGTCGTGCCATTCTTCCATCTCAACGCGGAATCGAACAACTTCACCAACATCAAAGTAGAACGTAGAACCATCTTCGTTCTCCCAGATCCAGACTTGATCCGCGTAGTCACTGAGATTTGTTAGCAAGCTGGAGCATCGCAGAGTTGATTAGGTGGTACACTCACAATCTGGCGCCATCCAGGAGTAGATCAGGGGGCACGAGGATGTCGTTGAAGAATTCCACGGCAACTAGGGAGTGTCAGCATCATATGTTAAAAAATACATCCTATACACTGGATTCTCACCCTTGATGCCATGTTCTGTCGCACTTGAGATCTTCCCAAGCATGATCTCGCCCTTGAACGGGCGGAAGACAATCAGACGGAATTTGACTGTCAATAGGTCAGTTTCTCTACCACACACTCTGAGAAGAACATCGTAGATAGAAAAAGTAACATACCATTTACATTAACAAGTCCAGTACCATGGCCAATCAGACCATCTGAAGACTCTAGCAGGTCATAGAAACCAATACATAGGCCGATTTTTTGAATGACCTGACCATAACAAGGTCAGCGATGTTCACTCACAAGCATGGCTCGCAGACCGTGCTAAACATGAAGCACACAATGGGAGAAGTTTCACGCGCTAGGACATACTTTGTTGGCATACTTCTCGTTGATGTTATCTTCGAGAGCCACAGCGCTATATTTGGAGAAATCCTCCGGGGAGATCTGGATCAGATCAGAGATCGTAGTCTGTGAGATACGGGTCAGCACAAACTCCGATATAGGTATGCACTGGGTGCATATAGAAGTGGGAGTAGTAGTCGATCACTAACAAGAATGAACATGATGAATCGAGTCGCTTGACGTAGCGCTCAAACGGCCGGCGGGGAAGAAGAAGAAGAAAAAAGATAAGGACGACGGAGATAATAGATTCTTCTCTTTCTTTCTTTCTATTCCAAGGCAAGCATTCGGGTGGGAGTATTCAAGTGGTCGGGACTCAATCCCATATTAGAAAAAAGCTAGTTCAATTGTCCTCCATCCAGCAACCATTTTACAATTATTATATTGGAAATCACTTTTAGCAGCAGCAGCTCAATGCGAGAACCCCCGGCATCCAGCCAATGGCAGCCGGCGGATCTGCCATGAAATTTTTGCCTGGACAGTGAGGTTGGCCCCACGTGAGCGGCACGCGATTCCTGATTCTGCTCGGAACGGAACAACCAAAAGAGGCTCTGTCACTGAATCTCCGGCCGCCTTTTATTGAGTTGCGCCCTCGTCAAGTCTTCGCAATGTCGGGAGGATGGCGTGCATGCTGTTTCTCTACGAAGGTCGTCTGAGATCTTCTCGCCATGAACTCCCAGGGGTTCTCTTTTCCTCCTCCCCCTCCTCCTCCTCCCTCTCAGCAACAACAACCACAACAACCGCAACCGCAGCAGCAACAATACCGTCACCATAATGCCAACTACCCTTCGCAATATGGCGGTCAGGGTTATCACGGCCAACGAGGCGGTCATGCTCATGGTGGCCACTTCAGAGGACGTGGGAGGGGCTATGGAAACCGGGGAGGCGCCCGTGGAGGTCACTTTATGACACCAGATAACCGCGCGTACCCTACCGCTACACCGTCTACTGGCTACGCTCAGATGAACTACTCTGGGTATGCCACGCACCCCAACCCAGCAGCCCAAGTCACTCCTTCGCCATCGCAAAATTACCAACGGGCTCCGAATGCTTCCTCCTTCCCTCCTTCGCAGCCTTATGCGCAATCCGCAGCCCGGGTGCCGCCTTACCAAGGCCAGCCTAACTATGGGGGAGCTTACACTTCGCCTACTGCTCAACCTGGGTCTATGTATCCTTCGGTCATGCCTGCCCAGCAACCGGTCAACCAGCCAGTTCAGACGCCGATGGTTGCCCCACCTATGCGCTGGGGGTTTGAGCAAACGGGACCGGCAGGCTCCTTTGCCGGAGCTCAGCGCGGCGGACACTTCAACGGTTACAACGCTCAGTCACATAATGGGGATAGAACAGCACACTATGCCAACAAGCGCGATCATAATGCGGCCTTTGGGAAGCCCCAGTCCGTCGCACCCCGAGTTCCCGCACCGCCTCCGGTTCCCAGCTTCGGAAATCCTCTTCCCGTCAAACCCCCACCACCAGCTGATGCCACACGGAAGCCAAAGAAGAAGAAGAGAAAGCACAATCAGCTTGGATTGACCCCGAGAACCGAAGAGCATGAGTCGAGCGAGGATGAAGACGATGTGGATGAAGAAGCGAGATTAGCCGGAGGAGCTGCTGCTGCCGACACCGCAGCTCTCAAGGTCACATATCGCGGAAAGACATCCACATTGCAGTCACCGGAAGAAATCGCGGCCTGGATTGAGGAACGGCGAAAGCGGTATCCGACGCAGGCGAAAGTGGAAGAGAAGAAAAAGGCCATGGAAGAGGCGAAGAAAGCACGCCAGGAAGTACAGCGGCAGAAGGATCAGCGAAAGCAAGAGTCCAAACGAGCGCACAAGGACGCTCGGAATAAGAAAGCGCACGACAAGCCATCCAATGACCAACCGGTCGATCCCATAGATGCTGCAGCGAAGGCGAAGGAGAAGGCGGACAGACTGCGGCGAAAGCTCATGAAGGAAGAGAAACGGGTGGCCAAAGCCGAGGCGGATGCCGAAAGGGCTCTACTGAGGGCTGAGGCACTGAAAAAGGGATCAACCGATGCCAATGTAGACGAAAGTTCGGCCACCGCACAAGTCCAACCGGCTTCGGAAACTGGGATCAGGGCAGATGCAGATTCGGAAGATAAGTCTGTCAAGCCTGGGCCCGCTGCAGTCGAAGGATCAGAAGTCACCAACGGCGAGACGACGTCTACAACAGATGTCAAAATAGACGCTGGGAAGCCCGAAGAGGCTGGGGACGAGGCCAACATCTCGTCTCAAGATGACTCCGATAGCAGCGATTGGACATCGTCCAGTGGGTCAGATTCCTCGTCGGATGAATCCGACAGTGACTCGGACTCTGCGCCGGAGGAGGCGACTACTCGACGAGAAGGACCGGAGCGGGTGCCGCCACCCCCTCGCGAGACTAAGAAAAAGCCATGCCATCACTTTGCTCGAACCGGTCGCTGCAGGAATGGAGATAGATGTCGGTTCTCGCACGAGGCACCTGAGCGAGGAAAGAAAGCGAAGCCAACGGAGCCGAAGGGGCGAAAGGGGCTTCTACAAGCGGTGAGTCCAGGAATCCCTAAGCTTATGCTCCTGAGAACGTGACTAATATGTGCAATTACTAGCTCCTGGACCGCCAAAAGGGAGAAGAAGACCGAAAAGTCATGGAAGCAATTGCATGGCTCGGGGAAAACGGATTCCTAGATGCGCCGAAGGCCCAAGAGGACACTAACAAGTCGACATCGGTGACCGAAGGCACGGAAGCTCCGCAGCAGGCAGCCTCCAAGGACACAATCTCGGGGCAGGAAACTGATGCTGCCCCCGTGACTGCCTAGTATATGGTGTGGCACCATCTCGAAGGCCGTATCGTAGTGTGCTGTATATACATAGCTAGACTAACGCATTATAGTACGTCTCGTGTCAAGGCTCCATCGTGCTCGAGCACTTCAGACAGTCCAGTTTTCCATTAGTGACTCGTGCCTGTAGGCTGTATAGTGGGGAGTGATTTCGGTGTTCTCTCGTTGGTCCAAGATTGAGCCCAGATGAATCAGAGTTCGGCCATTGAGTATAGAAGCACTTCGGACGAGAGCGTAAAATTGCCATCGCACCATAGTGGCCACCGGAGCTCACTAACAAGGTGATGCGGCTGCAACCTCGGTTTGAGCCGACTATAGATAGTAGGAAGTTAGGAAGATGGGAAGGATGGATGGGTGGGATGGGTGGCGCCTCCCCGCTTCGCGCTGCGCTTGTGGGTTAGCTCAAGTTGTTAGTGCTCTCGTAGATAATTTTTAGCTCCTCGCTATACACTAAGTGAGGACTTCGAATGCTGGCATAAACGCTCGGACGGAGTTCATTTCCCATGATAGTCTAGACAGGATGGGTGCCTAGCGAGGGCGTGGGTCTTGAATCTCCATACAGGATTAGAATGCCAGCCTGACGGTCTCCGAAGGAGAGAACACAAGGAGGAAGGCAAGAAAAGTCTAGCCCATAGTGAGAGTAGTGTAGGTAGTCCAGGGGGAAGAATGATGTCGGCGTTAAGTAGAACGATAGACTAAGTCGATGGAGGGGAGGTTCGAGGGGTGGGGAGGGATAATCCTTAACGAATTGGGAGGTGAAGTGGATGAGAAGCTTTGTGCTTAAATTACTGGATAAGGAAAGCGTGAACTTTGGGTCACTGGGAGAGGAGCCGAGAGAACTGGATACTCCTAAAGGAGTACCTCTCCGAGGAAGAGAAAGAGATAAGGGCGAATAAAGAGGTTCGTATAGTAAGTACTATGGACCCCTGCTTGTGGACAGGGATCTCGATAGTGTGGTGGGTGGCTTAGATCCTGGAGATGTGATGTCTCAGTTCATTGAATCGCTTCTGAGCTTTGTATTGAACAGTATTTTAGTTAGATGGAATAAAAAATATATGGGAGTAGTCGGGTAGCTGCTTAGTTGGATACTACCGCAGGCCAAATTAATAATCGTGATCGGCCGCATCCACATGTCAGTTCCGCACATCCTGATAAGATAGACTGTGGGACACTAACAGCCGTCTAGTCGGATAGCCAATGTTCTCTCACGATACTTGCATGCAATTTCAATAGAAAAGAGCAAGCAGAGAAGAACTTGTGTTGCAGCACGTCAAAAAACAAATACTATCTATCATACATCCAGCAAGAGAGAAGGTTCCAGACAGACAGACAGGACTAATAATACGGTGCCCTCGAGCTAGTCCCGAACGAGGGCATCAGCAGCTCCCACAAACTTTGGAGCGGAGTGGAACATGTCGGCGAGGGTTAATTTCATTTCTGCCCAATGATCGTCCGCGTGCCCTGAATTGTTGCTGCAGGAATTGGGAAAAACGCCCCTGAGCAGATACCACCTTTTCTGCCAATAATGCCTCTCTCAATCGTATCGAGGGCTATATTTACTTACACTTTTTCCAAGCGTCTCCTTGGCTTGTCGCTAAAGGAAGTCATTCAAAATCCGGACTCTCGCGGATAGGTCATATAAAATTTGCCATCTGTCTAAGCATGTATCTAGTGAGAGTTAGCCACTGTAGCCGACGAACCCCCGGTCGGGCGAGCGAAAAATAGTACCATTGGAAAGACGCTACACCCGAGTCGGGCCTGAACTCTCCCAAAATGGACGAAAATGAGGGGATCCGAACCGGACTTCCACCGGAAGATGAGGCCAGAAGAGAAGCAGTTGAGCGACTAGTGACGCCCAAGGGGGATTAGCGCAAGTGGAGGAGGTCCGATACAGCAGGTACGCCCGGTACGCTAGACCATAGGCTGGACTTGGTGTGGCCAGGAACAGGAAGGTCCGGATGTCCACTAGTCACAGGGTCATCCAATCCATTGTGCCCTGCGTCGGTCTGTCCGCAATGACAATGGATCCCCCCCCCCTCCTCCTCTCGTGTTTTTTTCCCACTTGATTTTCGCCGTCTGGGTCAGAGTCGGGCAATTTGTACTAAGAAGGTAACCTAACTTAAGCCAGGTAGGCAGTAGTGTGCGAGTAGACTAGTCTAGTATCTACTTAGTAACTTTCTCCAGTCCAGTCAATACTCACTGACTGGTAAGTATACATAGACATCCTCCTCCCCCCCTCCCCGGTGGTTCGTTCCTTCCTCTTTTCTCTTCTTTCTTTCTTCCCTTCCTCGTGCGATTTCCCCATTCGACGTCTGTCCTTCGTTCTTTCGTCGTCTGCATCTACTGACTCACCCCGGTTCACTCTTTTTTGACCGTCGAGACTATCCTTCCTCTCTCTCTCCCACTTAGAAGTCATTCTTTTACTTCTGTACCACCCACACTTGCATCGCGTATTTACGCTTGTATATCGCATACTATCCATTCCCCGTTATTGTACCGAGTCATTCTACTACTCACATATACTTCTCCACCAACATCCTTCAATATGCGTTCCGTCTTCTACCTTGCTCTCAGCGCCATTGCGTCTCTCGCGGCCGCTTCCGACAACCCGTTCAACGTCCCTGAGGGTGGCTACACCTTCACCGCGGGCAGCCCGACTACTCTCACCTGGGACCCGACTACTAATGGCACCGTCACCCTGAGACTCCAGTGGGGTGCTGTCTTCACCACCACCACGGGCGAACTTATTGCCGGTAAGCTCCCGCTATGGATATGGTGTGGAAAATTTTGATGAGATAGGTACTGACGAGACCATTTAGGGAGCATCGACAACTCTGGTAGCTACTCTTGGACTCCTTCTGCCGATCTTGCGGCCCGCTCGGACTACACCGTTGAGATCATCGATGATGATAACACGGACGATGTCAACTACACCCCGCGCTTCTCGGTATCCGGTGCTACTGGAGCGGTGACCACCAGCACTGCCTCGTCAACCACGTCTTCTGCTTCCAGCACCAGTTCTTCCACCGACCAGACCTCCACCGTGAGCGCCACTACTCTGTCTACTACCACCTCGAGCGCTAGCTCTTCCACCTCGACCACCACGGCTGGCTCGAACTCTACCGTTTCGGCGACGTCCTCCAAGACTGCCTCGTCCAGCTCTTCGAACACCGCGAGCTCCAGCGCTTCTACTGCCAGCGTCACCACGGTGTCCACCAATGCTGGTATGGCCAACCAGGCCTCTATTGGCATGATGGCCCTTATCTTTGGTGCTGTTGCGCTCATCTAAAACTACGACGTTCTGATTCTTCTGCCCGCCTGAGGGCTGCCAACTCCGTGGTCGGGTGATGATACCTTTTTTCTTTACTTTCTGGTACATAGATTTTTGAGCACCTTTTATTTACGCCTTCTTGCATCCCCCTTTTTACTCTTCTCACGCCCTCTTTGAACTTTCTTCTTCACGTGCCCTGTTGGATTGTCAAGGATTGCATGGACCTTTCCCGTTGCTGAAGAGTATCCTTTGTGTCTCGGAAAAAGATGTTACAGATCCCGGCTCTCTCTGCCATTTTTCGCTCCTGGCGATGGTATGGGTATGTTAATTATTACTACGACATTGTTTTTGTGCCTCCGGATGGATGGACCTAATGGGTTGGACATCGGACTTTACGGAGTATGTAGATATGGATTGTGTAATGAATGACTACTAGCCTATCATGCATGCGTTATACAGATGACTCGGAGCGCCCCTGGACGAAGGGGTCGATGCGTCGTAGCTGTGTGTACACGGGACCTGCATGATGAGCCCGGTGAAGATTCTGACGGGGTGGAGATGGGCATACCTTGCATGGCCCACTAGACTGCAGAAGACCGTCTGGGATAAGTTGGGGACATGCAGGGTAATGCTAGAGTGGAATGGAAAATTCGAAGGATTATAAGACGATATATTAATGAGCCCAGGAAAACGAATCCGACAAGTACGTAGCCTCGATGAATGGAATGATTCAATAAACAAATACCCCATAGGTAGGGCCGAGCAATGCCGGCTAACAGATAAAGTGAAACAAAACAATCTAACTATATGATAGGGATAGATCTAGAATATTATAGACTCCGTCCGTCCCCTCAACCCTTTCGAAATTAAGGCCGGTAAGAGAAAAAAGTAAAACCAAGAACAAGAAAATGAGCGTACGTAAAATGACAAGGCGCGAAGGAAAAAACGAAGAGATGAATCCAGAACCCATTGGGCAAAAAAAAAAGGGCTGCTAGCTGGCTGGCTGGCTCCACGGTAATCAAACCCAACCGTTAAATAAAGGGTCCACCCGAGGATTTATCCACCGACGGACGGGCAAAACTTCGGTGTGTGGAGAGAGGCTGACTGACTGACTCTTTGAGATTTGATTTGGGATGGGTAATTTAATTACACTGTAAGTTACTGGGTGATATTCTTTCTTTCTTTCTTTCTTTCTTTCTTTTTCACTTGATGATGGAAAAGATGTTCCTTTAACTGTACTGCAGTTTATTTATGGATGTTGTATTGAGGTTTATTTTTGATAGTATTATCAAATATTGGTTGGTGTATGCAGTATATTTATTGATTGGGATTTGCTTCTTTGCCAAGATGACAGACACACAACAGATGGATGAATCGGGGGCCTTTGTTTTGTTTTGGGGTTGATTTTGGGGCCTGCAAGGCACGTGAGGGTTGTCTTGATTTTTGGTTTCGGGTGAGTTCCATGGTAAGAGACAGTTCTTGCCCGAGGAACCATATGTTGATAGCTGTCCCTATTATAGATGAGTTCCTTATTTCTGTTTTCTACCCCTGAGACAGACGGTGATGTAAGGATGGTTGGGGGAGGTAGTAAATTAGGGACTTCGTCTCGAGGGAAGATTCTTTGTTTGTTTGAGACTGTCTATCTGTCACCTGAGCAGGGGCTGTATTGTATGCATGTTATGCAATGATACTAAGCCAGAATTATGTGCAAACTGCAGTAGTTAGTTACAGCAGCTGACATTGGAATTGATGAAGAAAGTCAGTCCGAGAGAAAATCAGGGAAAAACGACAAGCACGGATGTAATCGATATTGGGATTGACTTGATCGGCGGGAGACTTTCATTTAACTTGTGCGGGGAGGAATATCATTGGTGGGTTGGCGTGAGGCGATAGGGGGAATCTTAATTTCCGTTGGCACTTCAAAGTATTCAACTTGGATTGGGGATTATCGTTATCTATTATTTAAGCACTTTGGAGCTGTGCAATGGCCATCGCTATGCTCATGCGTTTTTGATGATCTCTTTCCATCAACCTGTCGGCAACTTGGCGCAAGGTCTCTACATACGCATCATCGCTTATCTGTGATGCGATCTCGGATAGAAGTTTCCCGTACGCCCAGATATCGTTCTGTTGGCGTTGTTCAAAGGGAAGATCGCACGGAGATATCGTATTTCGAACTTCGGATGTACACCATTCACGCGTGAACCCGCTGATGTCGATGAGCACTGCGTTTCCGTCGGCGTCGAGAACAATATTCGACGGTTCCAAGTCCATGTGGGTTTTCTTTGCCTCGTGGAAGCGATTCAGCGCAGTTCCGATCTGGATGGGCCATTCCTTCCAGCGGTATTCTGTGACGCGGCGATCGGAGAGGACCTGCTGTAGTGTTCCTCCGGGATATGCTTCTAGTAGAATGCCCGTCACAACTAGTGGTAAGCCGGTGTCCCAATCAAAAGTCTTGTAAGGGTTCGTAGATACGGCAATTCCAGCTGCCTGCACTATGTTTGGTACTCCAGCAAAGTAGTTGAGGTTCTCTAGTTCCTTGCGAATGACCTCGGTATCGTGACGTCGATAGAGAGGGCGGTCCACCATCTTGAGGACGTATCGCGTTTTGCGGTGGTAGACCCAGAATACCCCGGCCGTGATTTCAGTAGCACCTGTCAGTTCTTTGTGATTGATTTGTCGGAAGGAAGGGAATTCGTCGCATGAAGGATAGGCGACACTGCGAAAGTCTTCTTGGATGTTGCATCTTAGAGCTGTAGTGGGATTTTGTAAGGTGCCAGAAGCATCGTCGAGCTTGAGTTCCACTTCTGGACCGGTTGCTGTTGCATCTCCTAGGATAACCTCTGTTACGGTGTGCGGGAGGAGAGGAAGAAATTTGTAATCTATTCGTCGAACAAAGCTCTGGAAGAACTCGCGCCGTTCACGCTTGGTGGTTTGCTGCTCTCCGGCGTTGTTGAGGGGGAGGTTGGCGGTCGGGCCTCGTAGAGTCACTTTAATCCACCATTTGTTGCCTTCGATGTAATAGATTAATGATTGGGAGCGACTGATGGGCTCTGAATTCCTTTCCGCCGTATAGTCCAGCTCCTCGGAGTATGATTTGAGAGCAGTGCGAGCTGAATATTTAGTCATATTGTCCTGAATGAATAAGTTAGAGAAGTCTGGGATATCAGTTGGCCAATGCACGGTGAGTAACTAACTAATTTAGTAGTTAGTTAACAAGTGCAGGGGACAGCAAACATGACTAATCAATGCAGAAGTGCAGTGACTGATTAGTTAAGTTAGTTAATAATCAGTTAGTATGACTTCTAGTTAACTAATTCAATGCAAAGACGCCATCGCTTAGCCACTGGTGCATATTGCAATTCAGTTAGTGCAACATGATGCCCCATCATGTTGGGAACTCGACCGATGCACGGGCATAATAGTATCCTCGGACTTAGACTCCCAGAATAAAGTAGTTTATCCCGATGCATATAGTATTGTATAGTGAGCTATCACCGGTGCCTATTTTGTATCCCCGAATGCCCTCAAACAAGCTTTCCTGTTCCCCAGATTAGGCGACAGTATTTCTCAGCGTCGGGTACACGCAGTGAACGGATTTGCCCCATTCATTTCATCAAAGTCAAGGTCTGTCTGTTTGGTTCGGAAGTGAATAACTAGTGGGTATTTCTATTGGGAGATTACAATGTGGGGATACGACTATTCATAGGCTGCTGGGAGGGGTACCACTCACTTTGCCATTGTGGAATTATTGTTGACTCAGTCGAATTCGGCTTGTAGATATTTTTGAATAGTAGTACCCATATGACTGCTCCCTCCCCATAGTAAGAACGGTTACTGCACCTGTGATAGAAAAAGACACCGTCACCACAAGCCAGACTCTAGACTGGAAGGCATTCCCAAGCCGTGAGTTGCCAGTGAAGAATGACATGAACAGGAATTCTCCGGTCCCGCTTCTTATAAATCACGTCTCTGTGGAAGTTTCCGTTCGGTTGGGGATCATCCTGGTTCAAGATGAGAAGGGTGTTACGAAGTTCAGGTAGTCGAGTTTGCACACTCCTCCATATAAGGGGCCAGATCGATCATCATGCAGTAGTAAATACAAGCACCATCAAGTTTCAGACTTTAATGTTCATTTCTACAACATCTCCCACCTATAAAGGTATTTTCCAGCCATCCGATCAAGAAGGGAGACGTCTGGCAATGCTCTATTGCATGTCAAAAAGACCACCTCTCGTTAGAGGTACCTTCATAAGGCCAACAGAGAACGTGAGCCCCATTGGCGGTATTGCCATTATCAAGAATGATGCAATGATTCGGATACGCATCATTCATGATCATAGAGGAGCATACATTAGATCAGGGAGACAACTCTGTTGGGAATGGAGAAGATGTACGTGGAGCAGTGAGCAAGGTTCCCGTATACCAATTTACAAAGTACCAACTACCATCGTCAAGCTGTTTGGCACGCCATTTCTGGTTATCCGAGCGGCTAGAGTATTCCCTTTTGCGCAAGACAATTGCTCATACTCAAGAGTACATAACCAAGGCCCACTTATCAAAGCCCTAAATATATCCCAAGGGTCTTCTATAGTCAAGGTCGGGAACTTGGGTTCACAAATTAGTCCTAATAGCATTGACAAGATCGTTCTCCGGTTTGGACATGGTTAAAGATAGCTAAATTACTGGGAGTTGAGTGCTGAGAATGATATGAGAAGGGAATGATTGTGGTGGAATATATATTGAATTTTGTGGTGAAGGTAAGAAATACTGATGATGTGGATTGGTGAATTCTACTGATAAATCTCTATTAGTACCCCCGGGGGGTGGGCTTCCAGTTACGGGAGTGTCACTCAACCGACCACCAACTATACGTTTCATTGACGACGTTACAATTATATTGGAGACTTAATATACGCATCAGTTATTATAGTCACAGTGAATGTTCTGGGTCAGTCATTACATTAATGTTGATGGGAAGTGGTGGAACTGCAATGTCACCAAACCGACTTCTCTCCGTTCCCGATAAAAGCTCGACCAACGAAAGAGGATAATATCAAGGTGAAGAGTCATACTAGAATTCTGGATCAGATGTATGCCACTTATGTCTTCAGTTGTCAAAAACTGTAGAGACTCTGAGAAAAATCTCGGCTGAGCGTGGAGCGATCAGATATATACATACTATGTATATCATATAATGGTCTCCCTTATTCTGGACATCTTCCCACAGGAGAACGAACTAGTTCAATGGCCCTAGCCTAGAAACCAACGTGGGATCCCACAATTTGGAACGCACAGTCTATATATATTTGTTCAGCTCTGAATGCTATATCTGGCACCATAGCTGTCTGTGCATCAGCCGCTTTTCACCAATGGAGCGGGGGTGAAGTGTTTGTCCTACTGTAGCCTCACGCACCCTGCCTGCTGATAAAAACCTGTTCATCTTCTTCTGTTTGACACTGGAGATGTGTTGATTGCAGAGGGTCATATATACTGCAAAATACATCATCCTGAATACTCAGAACAACGGTGTTGCACTTGATATCACCGATCCTGAGGTGTTTTCGAGGACACTAGGAGTGTCTTCTATGACTCCTGAGTGCACACTTTGCTGACTCGTTAAACCTCAGTGACTTGGTGCCGAGACTCAACGAGTGAAAAGTTGTCTACCTTCATTAACAGAATCACAGCCTAGCATAGGTGGCAAATAAACTGCTTCCTCGATCGAGTCAGCCAGCATACCTGATTCGGATTTAACAAAAGACTGGCGACTGCCAACTTGATCTTCTGACGCAACCCATTCTCCAGGTCGTTTATCAACCCAAGTCCACCATGTCTGCACCGGCACCTGATCGTCAGGATCAAGCTGAGTTGGCTCTGAGACTGCGAAATACCATGGTTGCATCGGCATCCATTCCACAGGACCAAGTTGAGCTGCCTTTGCGACCGCGAAACACCACGATTGCTGCATCGGCGCCCAACAGTCAGGACGAACCTGAGCTGGCTCTAGGGCAGCTTCCTCTTACATTCGCGATAGATGTCTCGCAAAGCACGTTGGGACCTGTGCTTCGGAAAGAGCAGGATGCTATTCGGGAAATCTGTGGAGATTCTATGCCGCCGGACTTGGTGTCACGGTCAAGTATTCTTCCTTGGTGTCACACGGCCTCCCAACCGATGAAGATAGCAGACATCGAGAATCTCAGCTCCTGGGGCCGAACCGATCCAGGGGCTTTGTTGAACAGCCCCGCTTGCAAATTAAAACTTCAGGACGCCAGCATATGGTTTCTTTTGACCGACGGCCAAATCACCGAGCCACTAGTTCAGAAGTTTGCCCATGCTATCTCCGCCGCTGGTATTCAGGGCACAGCCTGCGTGATGATTCTATTTGGATATCCGGAAAGTTCACCATTTCGCTGCAATATCTCAGTTGGGATGTCTGTGTTTGCCGTGGCTCCACATTGCATCTTTCTCTTCTCAGATGTGAGAACTGGCATATTGTACGTGCTACAAGCCAAGGGGAATTTCTCGAATATTCTCCCGGCAGAGAAGCAGTTTGTGCCCTTTGGGGAGAGGACGGAATGGGCGGACCTGGTGACAATCAGATACGACGATCTCAAAAGAGTCAAGGTCCCTAGACCCATCAAAATGTCCCGGGATATCGTCATACTCCCAAACGGAGTCCATTTTGACATGAACAGTATATATACTGGCTTGATATCTGAGACGGACACACTTCACCTGCTATCGAACTACGCCGCTTTAGATCGCGTCATCCTGGCCGCGAAGACACAGGGTCAAATTGACAAGATTCAAAGTTGGATTTTGAATTCCCGTCGGACTATGGATTCGATGGATAAGATTCTGCTTGGGCCCCGTGAAGACTTAGGTGGGGAAGCAGAAAGGGTACTCCTCACCCTTCTGACCTTTCTAGGCGGAGATGGATCACGACCACGGTCTCTGTGGCAAGTAATTCTTAAGTCAAATCAGTCCTCAACTGCAGAGTTCATCAAGTCAGAACTCCGTAAGCAGCATCAAAGGAACTGGGAGAATTTTAAACAGCATGTCAGAGCAGCTCATGATCATTCTTATCGGTTGAAGATGACCTTTGAGGATGTCTCGAGAAGATCAAGCGGATCAACTCGACGCCAGTCTTCAATGTCCCCAAGCGATCTAACCCCAATGAGTTCGCCAGATGCAGGAAATATGCAATATATGGGAACCGCGCGTTCGTTTCAACAGAGAATCAGCCCACTTGCAAATCTTTCCAGGCCTCCAGCTGATGGACCAATAGACTGCGAATATCTATTTTTACCAGGATATAGAGACAGCAGAAACGTCGCTGCAGGATGTGCAGTTCCCCAGAACTACCAACAGTGCCCTATATGTGGGACTGATCAGACAATACAGTGTCTTCTCCTCCAAACCCCACGCGACTACAATGGCACACACCATGTTCCACAGGCCAATAGCTGTGCCGAACACCGCTATCCAATGATGTTGGGTAGTTACCCCGAGACGGATATAATTTTGCCTCAGTTAGCGTGTGATGCTTGCGCTTGGATACTGCTCCAGGTTAGAGAACTGCCCAATGGTCAGCGAGTTGATGCTGCACTGCCGCTGGTCTCTCTCACCAAGGAGGTAAACCGACGGCAATGGGTTCGAACACTTGACCGAATTTACGAACGCCGCTTTCATGAGAGCATCATTCTCTACGTCTTTCTCTCTTCCGTTTGCTTTAAGATGGAAGACATATCTAAAGATAGGGAGATCGCCTCTAGCCTAATGGAGTATCTTAAGTGGTGCTCCGAAGCAATAAGCCGACTTCCTGGCGAGCCTTGGAAGGCTGGTCTTTTACCGGCCCCAGAATCGACCCCGACTGCCAATCATAGATTACTGACGTTACAAAGAGTCTTTAGAACAGCTTTCCCTCATACTCACACCACCGGTCGGCTTGAAGGCTTTCTACATTACCCCATTGAGGGGTCCGTCGTTTTTGTCCGCATCGCCAGTCAGATAGAGACCATAGCGCCACACATGATTGAGCTCTACGTGTGGAAGCGGTTGCTTTACCAGATAGCCGAACATTACGCAGCGTTACACAGAGAGGAAGGGCCCGAAGAGGCTGATATACGCCTCAGAGCCACACTCGGTGTGTCATTCCCTTTCACTCCTGAATGGGAGATGGCAGTCAATACTGACTTATTAGTAGAACAGCTTCCATCGCCTTACTCAGTTTCTGTGGCCCAGCTGGGTAGCCATCTCCCATCGCTTGATCAGTTCAGACGCCTGGATAATTACTTTGCGCCCATTGAGACCACGACCAAGTACAATGCTGCTCTGGCTGTCTTCCTGCACATCATGCGGAAAGTCTCGATTCTACTCCAGCATAACCACCCTGAAAAGGGATTATTTGTCAAGTACATAGAAGACTATGGGCTCCAGGTACAGCAGGCAGATAACCAATTCTGCAACGTATTCGATGAACCAACGCTGGTTGGAGAAGGTGACGTTGAGAAGATGGTCAAGGATGTCTATGAATTGCACTGAGGGAAATGGATAGGGTATGCCTTTGCTTTTTGGATCACTAGAAGGATATCATGGTAGTATGAATATCATCCTTGAGTCTATTGAAACCTATATTCTATGTCAACCTGGTAGCTGCACTTGCACACTGTTACTTCCTATGAATCGGCCTCCATAAAGCGAAGGAGAGGAGATGTCCGTATCTATTCCCAACTACCTAACTACTAAACCAAACACCCAATATCATACATACATACACCACTCAATTGAAATCAAATAAGAACAAAACTCATGCCCATAACTCCCCAAACCCAACATACAAATCCCTCTTCCCAACCTCCACGCCCTCCATCCGCACAATCGCATACGCAATATTCAAATGGAAATAAATATTCGGCAGGACCATGGTATGCGCATATGTCGCATTCGTCACATTGATCTCGACCCCGGGTCCCGCGGGCGCAGGCTTGACCGTCTCGGCATTGGCATTCACCACATCGGTATCGGCATCTTTCAGAAGTTCCAGTACTTTATCGATGCGCTCGTAGCACTCCGCCAAGGATTGCGGGTTACCCTCTGGTAGGAAGGTTGTAGGGAGAGTGTCTGCCTCGGGGTGGTTGGTGAGACGGGCGTAGAGACGGACGGAGTTCGATGTCACGAGGCGGATTTGGTCGGTGAGGGGGTACATGGTTGGATGGAGGCGGGAGTTGAGGAGGAGGGAGGATGGGTTGGGATGGGTGCGTTCGGCGGTGCGGAGGAGGTGGAGGAGGGTTTTGAGGATGCTGGTGAGGATGGGGAGGGTGGTGGCGTAGAGGGTTGAGGTTTGTTTTGGGGGGGACATTTTGGATGGTTCAATTATGCTTTCTTGTTGTGGAAATTGGAGGATTGGTAGATTGGTAGATTGATTTATTGATTGTGGTTGGGAGTGGTTGTAGTTGACTGTATTTATGTAGTCTGGTGAGTGAGTGAGTGAGTGAGTCACTGTGATGGAATGGATACAGGATGCTTATGTAGTGGATGGTGGAACTACTAGTGTCGTGATTAAAATCCAACATCAGACAAAGTGGATATTGTCTCGTATTATAGTGTTTCATAGCCACAGTTCTCCGAGATGGTTGTTGTGTTTGTCGCAGGAATCAATTGTCTGTTGATGCTATTTCAACTTGGTCACTATATCATGCCTATGGTTATACGCATTACGAGATGGATGGTAGTTAGAAGGTATATCATGCTCTTTGCAAGATTATTATATTTGTTCAAGTCATATCCCGACCAGCGGTGACACTGACAATGCACTATGCTCATCTCTGTTAAAGATACAGCCCTACGACACCCACTGGGGACACACCCGCTTCACAAAGTTCATAAACTTGAAGAAGCCGACCGCATGCTCGACGTTGCCATACGGATCGACCACCCGCTCCGGGAAAGCGATGCCCGCCCCATACAGACCCCGGACAACGCGGCCGTTGGAGTCGCGGAAGCCTCCCGAAACCGGGTCGAACTCGGGCTCCAATGAGGAGCCGTTGATGGACAGCTCTGGCAGCGGGTCCCGCGTGAAGCCGACGGCCTGTACCAGGTACGAGCACGAGGGCAGATGCCGCTCATACTGTGCTTGCTCCTGGTTGTCGCCGCAGTAGACCTTGGTGATGAACCGGCCAGCCTCGGAATGTGGCAGCTTGTCATCCTCCAGTTGCTGACGGGCAAAGTCGGCAGCAGACCCCTTGAGTCCGGTGTTGTCCCGGAGGATCCAGCCGTCCATGAATTCGGCATACCGCAGGGAATGCCGCGTGAACCACTTGATACGGAGCTCGGGATGGGATGTGCGAGCCAAGTCTACCAGGTTGAGGAGGGCTAGGATGGCGCTATGCGACGCTCCTACTACAGCGACGGTCAAGGGCTTGTCTCGGGGAAGATGCGACACCAGGTCGCTGGGCTTCAGTACGAGATCCAGGTCCAGCCTTTCGATGTGGTGCCCGGGAATATATATAGAGACCTCGGTTGGGGAAGACCCTGTGCACACGACGAGTCGAGGCGTCAGCACCTCGACTTCATCCTGCGAGTCCTGCAACCGGATGCGAACGGTCCAGGTAGCAGTCTATGTCGACGGTCAAATGTTAGCGATGCGGGATGCTAATTGGCTCCTAGAGCTCTATAACTGACTTTCTCGGCCAGGTTGGCAGCTGTGACAACTCCTCGACACGGCAGAACCCGTTCCATCTTTGTGATGCCATCGGTAAGAGCACGAACCACATCAATAGCATGATGCAAATGACAGGTTTTATTTTGGTCGAGTTTGGCCATCGTCGTAAATGGGTTGGGGATACGAGTGTTTTCGATTACAGTGCGGAAAGGTTGAACGGCCGTAGCGTACGCCTGAAAATAGCACACCTTGGTATTGCTGATTGAGCCAACAGAACCAGTCAGCAGGAGTGTTCTTCTGGCACCCTGAAGCTCGTTCTGACGACCAGACCGAGGATTTGCTCACCTAGGAACCTCGCGGTATCTCTGGTTTATCCGGCCACCTTGGAATAACGGGTCAACCCAGGCAATCTTCCCTCCAAGTTGCTTCTCCAGGAGATTTCCCACAACCGCCAGACCGGCTGGACCGGCTCCCACAACGACAGCAGCACATTTCTGGGGTTGAGCCATCGTCAAGATGCTCATATAGATGGGGTGGAGGAAATAATAGCAGAAAGTCGGGATATCACAAATTCACAGGGCTGAAAAAAGGGTGGTTGTGACAATCGCAGCGTGATCTCAAAAGAGCGGGAGAGGCATTTATGGGGATGGGAGTCAGAACGCCAGGGGAGCTGGGTCGTATTGCCGGCGTAATTCTCGGCGAAACAGGCGAACGAGAATCAAGGCCATGTTTTGGCGGGAGAGGGGAAGCCACGAACACAACACCATGAATGACCGCTGAGAATGGGATAGCCGAGTACCCCGATGGCCTAGATAGGATAGGCAGATGGGAAGATAGCCGATCAGCCAGTCAATCCGCTCCAAATTCGAGTCACGGCGCAGGAAAACTGCGCAGAAACAAAGTCTCTCGGGCGAGATAACGCATGATGCCTCCGCTACGGCCGGTCAGGCGGTGATAACCGCACTGCTCACTGGTCACACTGAGTGTATCACCGCTTCTCGCACGACTGACCGGTTGTTGCGCAATCCAATGTGGCCAGCCCCACCCGGATTCGCTCCTGGAACATCCTGGGCCGCTTTCCGTCGGCAGTCACATTCTGTCGTCTTGGCTGGGAATGAAGGAGGGCCGCAAGGCGTAGAGGAGTCGGGGGGAAGGTCACCGTCAAGTAGGGAGCAACATTGAGCTCTTGTCTGGTCAATTGACGGGACTGTGTCTTCCAGTTTGGTCCAAAGAGGGAAGACAAAACCAGCGTTACTGGTGATGGAGGAAGAGAGCGACCTTATATTCAAATGCGCAGATGACGGGATTGGGTGGTCTTGGCGCAATTGCGTGATCGCCTTGGGGAATGAGGTGATGCTCTCTCCGGCCTGATTTGGCAGGCTACCATCTATACTACCCAGATAGTATACCCAGTCTATCGATAGCCGATAAGGATGTATAGTTAGTTACAGCTGCTTAGTAAATAATCCCCATCGATAGTTAACTAATTAGTTCATAACTACATATCTGCTTACTGCTATTCAAAGATTTACTTGTTTCTAAGCTCATGTGCACTCTAAAGATGCTGCTGACTTAGGATCCCCGCATTAGACCGCCCAAAACACCCGCACTGACACTCGCTGCACATGGTTCGACCACCCTCCAAACCGTGCCCGACCCCAGACAGCAATCGCATCTCCAATCTCCAGACTGCGGACTTGGCTTCCATCCAGCGTGGCTCGTCCTCGACCCTGAGTTCGTTCTATTTCCTCCGCTTCACTCGAGTCCGGAGCGATATCATCCTGGTAGTGCCAAACAATAGTATGCTTTTGCGAACCTGGCACGGCCGTCTTATTCGACTGTAGCTTATGAGCCGTTGGCAGCAAGTTAGGATGGTCGGGCCCAAAATGGAATGGACCCTGTGGTGGAGGCTGATTATTTGCATCTCGCTTCTGATGTGCTGAGTGAATGACTTCGGTATCAAACCACGAATAAGAGCCCCCGTATTGACCGCGAGATCCTAGGCCGCCACCCCATCCCTGATCGTGAGATTCAATAGTAAAGATGATCTGGCGGCATGGATGAGTGGTCCGATGGGGCAAAGGCTTTGGAGACGGAGTATTCAAGGTCTAGTGGTTTGAACACGGTGTCAGCAGCAATAACCCGATGAAAAAGTCTCCGGTTGGAGTGAGACGCATGCAAAATGCCACAGTAGGCCAAAACTTCCAACTTACCTGCACATCATAGCACAGAGGTACCGTCGTTAGAATAGTCTGATCCTGATCTTTCCTGATAACAGTCTCTCCTTCCAAAACGGACTCAGAAGAAGCCCAATACTCGGCTGCGTCCACAATCATATCTACAATTTCAGCTGGCAGCAACTCTTGCGAGTTCCTCGTCCATTGCCAGATGTGCTGTAGTAGATACCGAACCTTCAAAACATCGAAACAACTGGGATAGTATGTGTCGCCTTCCGGGGAAGAGTCCTTGTTATCCTCATCTGGTGGGGTGCTTGTATCGTTGTTGTTGGGGGGCCGGTTTGGTCGTCGCCTCATAGCAAGCCGATTAACTAGAGGCAACATCATTATATTTGTAGCCTGCGAGCTACTTGAAAGGGCCTCCTTAAGTTTGCACCGACACAAACCTAACGTTGACTCATGCGAAACGACAAACTCAGAAACGGTCGTAGTTCGGTATCAAATCTAATTGTTGCCTCGACGAAATTAGCCAACGGGCCAACATAAGACAGCTACAAAATGAAGAGAATTGCTCACTCAAGACAAGCTCATCTCAATGGTTGGGCTCAGGCACCAGTCTGACTCAAGTGATGTCGGTCAACTTAGTGTAACCGTTTTGATCTCACCCCGCCTTCCGGGCAGAATTATAGAGGGGGAGGAGAGATGCAGTAGGCACCACACGCGATAGTTAAGATATGGAACGAAAAGTCTATCAATGACTTGACTAAAACTAGCATTCATAGGAATATGTTACATGCCGGTTTATAAGAGAAGAGCGCTGCATATGTGAAGGGCGATAGCAGTGATTGATATCGCCAGGAGAAAGGCGGCGCAATCGATAGGTGACGTCATGGGCGTGTTCCTGAAAGGGCCAAAGTTACACATCGCGTACAGCAGAACAGGCACAATACAGACAGTTCACAACCGATGAATTGGCATGCAACAGATGGATATCTACTTAACAAGTCTCGTATGAATTGGCTTTTTGACATGCAAAATACACCCGTGAAATAGAATACAGATAAAAAAAAACGCCAGCAAGCTCACATCCCAGTCCATTAATCGGTCTTCCCCTTCTTCCACCCACCAGCGGCTTTGTAGGCCGCAGCACGCTTGCTGCTCCGGTTGTTCGGCTTGCCCTTGGAGCCACGGCTCTTCGTCTTGACCCGAATGTGCGAACCTTCAGTGGCCCGATGGCCTTCGAACACCAAGGAGTTCTGCGAGATGGACTTTTGTGCATCCGCCTTCACCTTGGCTGCACCGGCCCGGCCAAAGAGTCTACCGGCGCGACCTTGCAAGGTCTTGTCTGCCTCACCAAGCGTCTTCTTCTGGCCACCGCCGTCTGAACGCTTCTTCAGAATCTTCTTGGCCCGGGACACGCGGAGCTTGCGGGGAAGCATAGGCGGGTAATGCTTTCCATTGAGTACAAGAGCCTCCTCGACACAGTTTTGATCATAGAATTGAACGTAGGCAAATCCTTTGCCGACACGAGTGAGGCTGTCGCGAACCACACGGACTGATTCAACATTTCCATTCTTGGGCTTCTCCTTATTCGAACGACCGGTGTGAGCGTTGAAGGTCCGCCAAAGACCTTCTTCA